AAATCATTCAAAATCAAGGCATGATCATATTTGATTTTGGTCAAATAATTGTAATCGGGGCCTTTGCTTTTCATATAAGCCACTCGAATAAAACTTAGATATAGACAACCAAATTTCTGTCAAGTTGTGTATTGTTTTTTTAGACCAAAATATCTTAGAAAAATTAACCAGCTCAGAAAAAATAATGATTTATTAAATAGAAAATAAATTTAAGTCTCTTATATAATCTTTCAAATCAGATTGTGGTGTACTGTGATTTCGAATACGTGGTAAAAGGGCAGAAATTTTATTTATATATGATTTATATTATTTTTATCTAATAACGATATCTTTAAAATCAGTATAATTTAAAAAGAAATGTTAATAGCAGCACATGTGTGTGTGTGTGTGTGTGTGTGTGTATATACTGTATATATATATATATATATATATATATATATATATATATATATATATATATATATAATGTGAACTGCAAAGACTTTCCCATTGACTGCACATCTTCTGTTTATATGTGTATTTTATTGTGTAACGTTTATATTTCATTTATTATACAATGTGTTAAAACTAAAATGACATGAAATCAAAAACGACAGCATAATGGCAAGAAACTATTTATTTAAAGAGGTACCATTGGTATTGTGTGCGTACATTCACTTGAGATGATTTTGTACAGGATACAGGATGGTAAATATATACATATTAAAATATGTATAGAATAAATAGAATGAGCTCCCAAACATTGTGAAATCTTTCCCATTATTGCAACCATGCATTCACATTTCATTGTTAAGGCACGAACCAACAGCAATAACCTGCATTACAACCATTTCTACTGAAAACAAAGCTTCTTCTCATTTAATCTGTCTGTCATTATGAATAAAATCCTCAGTCAGACATCATGCACTCAAGAATATGATTTCAAATGCATATTCTCCATATTTATACTGAATGCCTCGACCAATTCAGTTTTGTTTTCATGATCTAAATGAAAATGTTTATCATTATATTGTCTGTTTTTTCCTTAAAACAGGCAATATAATCTGCCAATGGAGTAAACAAAATAATCCTATTTTCACTTTATTATATCTTACCACATTAGCAGATTATTTAGCTTGTTTTAAGGAAAAAATTCGTAATTTTGACTCATTATTTCTGAAAACAAGACAATAATTTTTACATGTCTATAAAATGCTTCTTGATTTAACAATTGTTTAGACATTTAGACTAGAAACAAGACAAAAACACCAAGTAAGAACAGCATTTTGTCAGTGCACGACAGCAAACTCATGACTGAATGCACATAATTAAAATGGTTGATTATTGAATGTGTATAGATAGATAGAAAAACTGTCTATAAAAAAGATATCCTCGATGCCTTAAAGAATTAGTTTTCTTACAAAATAGACATTTTGCAATCTGCCAACCAAGATTTGTCAGCTGAAAAGTAATGAAGGTTTTTAAGGAAAACTTCATATAGTGAACTGTAATAGCGCTGCTCAGTGGTTTAACTTCCAAAATGCAGTTTTAATACAGCTTTCAAGACAAGCAATTACCAAGAAAACTATTGGTTATTTCTGAAAAAAGAAAATAAAATAAATATTTAACTTTTAATATTTAGTATAGCAGCCCTTAAATAAACTAATATGTCTGGACCACAAAAACAGTTTTTTATATAGAAATCTGGAATCTCAATAAATAAGATTTCCATCGATATTTACTTTGTTATGATATATAGGACAGACAATTATGGACAAGATACAACTACCTCAAAATAGGTAATATGAGGGTTTAAAAAGATCAAAAATACTGATAAAAATGTGTGATCCTAATTTTTTTAAAATGTCATATCGCTTTTTTTTCAATGTGTTGTTTTTAACATTAATACACATTGAAAAGTGCCATATTGGATGTTAAATATGCATGTTATGCTCTTTAAAATGTATTTTCCATAAATAAGAAAACAATAAGTTCAGATATCCAAAACCTACAGATTTGTTGACTTTGGTGAAATTGTTTGGCTTGTGATTGTATAAACATCTCAAAAACATCAAAAATAACAATAGAAAGTAAACGACAAGTTTTTCGATGCCATTTTGGGGGGGTCTGTGTGTTTGTGTGTGTGTGTTTGACATATTGAGCTTGTTGTAGAGGCTCAGACCGTACATATGTCTGATATACATTAGGTTTGATATTTTTAATTGGACAAATTATGCTTAAAATATCATTTTTTCTTTTGTTTTTCATATGGGTACAAAGGTCAAACTAAGAAGTTTTTTAAACAATTACATTTGTTGAAACAGATCTTATTTTTGTGTGTTACAAAAGCGAACCTAGCCATCAGATTAAAAAACTACATTTTACCCCAAAAATGTCCTCTAAGATGCTCTAGGATAAATCATAAGTGCTCAAAATTGTTATTCTTGAAGTGAACCAATCCTAAAATCTCAGATTAAAGTGATAGTTCACCCAAAAATGAACTTTTACTCACTATTTACTCTCCCTCAATTTATTCCAAATCATTAATCTTTCTCCTATTGAGCAAAACAAAAAGATGTTTTGAAGAATGTTAGAAACCGGTAACTATTGACTTCCAAATGAAACAAATGATTAGAGATTTCCAACTTTCTAAACTTATAACAGCAATATAATAAATGACAATAGATTTCGACAGCATTATGGAGTCTGTGTAAGTGAGAGAGAGAGGGTGTTCGACACATTGAGCATGTTGGCTCAGATCTTATGTATGTTGATCTGCATTGTATTGGATTTTTTATTGGACAAATAAAGAATAAAATGCGCTTGGGTTTGTTTTCTATGGGCCCAAAGAAAAATGAAGATGTTTCTGTGTGTGGTACTAAAATGACCCGAGCTAACTGCTCAGATTAAGGAAACTATTTTAAAAAGTCTATAATTTTGCCCAAAAAAGTCCTCTAAGATGCTCTAGGATAAATCATAAGTGCTCAAAATTGTTATTCTTGAAGTGAACCAATCCTAAAATCTCAGATTACAGTGATAGTTCACCCAAAAATGAACTTTTACTCACTATTTACTCTCCCTCAAGTGTTTCCAAATCATTCATCTTTCTCCTATTGAGCAAAACAAAAAGATGTTTTGAAGAATGTTAGAAACCGGTAACTATTGACTTCCAAATGAAACAAATGATTAGAGATCTCCAACTTTCTAAACTTATAACAGCAATATAATAAATGACAATAGATTTCGACAGCATTATGGAGTCTGTGTAAGTGAGAGAGAGAGGGTGTTCGACACATTGAGCATGTTGTACAGGCTCAGATCTTATGTATGTTGATCTGCATTGTATTGGATTTTTTATTGGACAAATAAAGAATAAAATGCGCTTGGGTTTGTTTTCTATGGGCCCAAAGAAAAATGAAGACGTTTCTGTGTGTGGTACTAAAATGACCCGAGCTAACTGCTCAGATTAAGGAAACTATTTTAAAAATCTATAATTTTGCCCAAAAAAGTCCTCTAAGATGCTCTAGGATTAATCAGAAGTGCTCAAAATTGTTATTCTTGAAGTGAACCAATCCTAAAATCTCAGATTACAGTGATAGTTCACCCAAAAATGAACTTTTACTCACTATTTACTTTCCCTCAATTTATTCCAAATCATTCATCTTTCTCCTATTGAGCAAAACAAAAGGATGTTTTGAAGAATGTTAGAAACCGGTAACTATTGACTTCCAAATGAAACAACTGAAAGTCAATGATTAGAGATCTCCAACGGCAATAAAATAAATGACAATAGATTTCGACAGCATAATGAGGGTCTGTGTAAGTGAGAGTGAGAGAGGGTGTTCGACACATTGAGCATGTTGTACAGGCTCAGATCTTATATATGTTGATCTGCATTGTATTGGATTTTTTATTGGACAAATAAAGAATAAAATGCTTAAAATATTTGTATTTTCCTTTTGTTTTCTATGGGCCCAAAGATAAAATGAAGACGTTTCAGTGTGTGTTACTTAAAATGACCCGAGCTAACTGCTCAGATTAAGGAAACTATTTTAAAAAGTCTATAATTTTGCCCAAAAATGTCCTCTAAGATGCTCTAGGATTAATCATAAGTGCTCAAAATTGTTATCCTTGAAGTAAACCAATCTTTTAATCTAAGGTTAAAGGGATAGTTCACCCAATAGTGAACATTTACTCACTATTTACTCTCCCTCAAATCGTTCCAAAGCATTATGAGTTTCTTTCTCTACTTGAACCTAAAAAAAGATAGTTTGCAGATTGTTAGAAACCGGTAACCATTGACTTCCATAGTATGAAAAACAAATTAAAGTCAATGATTAGAGGTTTCCTACTTTCTATAACATCATCTTTTGTGTTCAACAGAAGAACGAAACTTATATATATTGACTATATAATAAATGACAATAGATTTCGACAGCATTATGGGGGTCTGTGTGTGTGTGTGAGAGAGACAGAGGGTGTTCGACACATTGAGCATGAGTTATAGGCTCAGATCTTATATACAGTATGTTGATCTGCATTGTATTGGATTTTTTATTGGACAAATAAAGAATAAAATGCTAAAAATATTTGTATTTTCCTTTTGTTTTCTATGGGCCCAAAGATAAAATAAAGACATTTCTGTGTCTGTTACTAAAATGAGCCAAGCTAACTCCTCAGATTAAGGAAACTATTTTAAAAAACTACATTTTACCCAAACAAAACCTCTAAGATGCTTTAGGATTATCATAAGTGCTCAAAATTGTCATCTTCAACGTGAACCAATCCTTCAATCAGAGGTTAGAGGGGCAGTTCACCCTTAAATGAACATTTACTCACTATTTACTCTCCCTCAAGAGGTCCCAAACCTTTATAAGTTTCTTTCTCCTGTTGAACCTAAAATAAGATGCTGTGAAGAATGTTAGAAACCGGTAACCATTGACTTTCAAAGTATAAAAAACAAATGAAAGGCAACATTTCCAGCTTTCTTCATAACATCTTTTGTGTTCAACAGAAAAAATAAACTCATAAAGGTTTGATACACGTAAAAAGTGAGTAAATGATGACAGGATTATTTCATTTTTGGTTGAACTGTCCCTTTAATGGCCTTTAAGAGCCTCCTTAGCATCCTTAAGTGCCGATAGTAATACTGCTGTGTTGTTGTTATCCTGCTAAACAGACTCATTTCAGGAAAATGCCTTGTTGTGTGTGTTTTTCAGGCCTGCAGACCCAGCGAGCGAGCTGTGTTCAGCACATCATCTCGTGTCAGATAACATCCACACAGCTGCCGCAGACCCGTAAAGGACTCTCTGCCATGAAGAACTCGCCAGTTATCAACAAACAGAACCTGCAGACACGAAACAAACACAGGTACTATTTAACTTGATGAAATAAAATAGAATAGAATAGAATCCAAGTTTTAGGAACAACAAATAATTACTTGACTTCTAGTTGATAATTTGGTATCAATAGTGGCTTATATGGAAGGCAAAGGCCTCTAAATTACACTTATTTACCAAAATAAAATATGATCATGCCTTAATTTTGAATGATTTAATTAGGACAGTAAGTTCTGACTTGATTAGACTAAAGAGTTACCACTGAACAGAAATAATGTCCAGTATAGAATATAAAGTCCTGCTGCAGTGGAGACAGAATGAATATTGTGTCTGACTCCATCATGAGCTTGGAGGACTGCATCCATACATCTCTGACATGACTCAAAGCACTGATTAATAAAGTCATCTGGAATGAAGAAGAAAGCCGTGCAGGACTCCCAGAGTTCATCAAGACTCTTTGTCTTGTTTTACCCCAGACATACTCAATAATGTTCATTTCTGGTGACTGGGCTGGCCAATCCTGGAACAGCTTGACCTTCTTTGCTTTCAGGAGCTTTGATGTGAAGGCTGAAGTATGAGAAGGAGCGCTATCCTGCTGGAGAATTGTCCCTCTCCTGTGGTTTGTAATGTAATGGGCAGCACAAATGTCTTGATACCTCAGGCTGCTGATGTTGATCATCCACTCTGCAGATCTCTCACACGCCCCCATACTGAATGTAATCCCAAACCATGATTTTTCCTTCACCAAACTGACTGACTGATTTCTCTCAGAATCTTGGCTCCGTGTGGGTTCCAGTAGGTCTTCTGCAGTATTTGTGATGATTTGGATCAACACATGATTCATCAGAAAAATCTACTTTCTGCCACTTTTACAAATGATTAACTAGAAGTCAAGTTATTATATGTTGCTCTTTAAACTGGGGTTAATGACAAGATTTTGTCAGGTAATGTAGTATAGACAGAACAGAACAGAACAGTACAGAACAGAACAGAATAGAACAGAACAGAACAGAATAGAATAGAATAGAATAGAATAGAATAGAATAGAACAGAACAGAACAAAACATAATAGAACAGAACATAATAGAACAGAACAGAACAGTTTAGAATAGAACAGAACAGAACAGTATAGAATAGAACAGAACAGAACAGAATAGAATAGAACAGAACAGAACAGAACAGAACAGAATAGAATAGAATAGAATAGAATAGAATAGAATAGAACAGAACATAATAGAACAGAACAGAACAGAACAGTTTAGAATAGAACAGAACAGAACAGTTTAGAACAGAACAAAACATAATAGAACAGAACATAATAGAACAGAACAGAACAGTTTAGAATAGAACAGAACAGAACAGTATAGAATAGAACAGAACAGAACAGAATAGAATAGAACAGAACAGAACAGAACAGAACATAATAGAACAGAACAGAACAGTTTAGAATAGAACAGAACAGAACAGAACAGAATAGAATAGAATAGAATAGAATAGAATAGAATAGAACAGAACATAATAGAACAGAACAGAACAGAACAGTTTAGAATAGAACAGAACAGAACAGTTTAGAACAGAACAGAACAGAATAGAACAGAACAGAATAGAACAGAACAGAACAGAATAGAACAGAACAGAACAGAATAGAACAGAACAGAACAGAACAGAATAGAACAGAACAGAACAGAACAGTTTAGAATAGAACAGAACAGAACAGTTTAGAACAGAACAGAACAGAACAGAACAGAACAGAATAGAACAGAACAGAACAGAACAGAACAGAATAGAACAGAACAGAACAGAATAGAACAGAACAGAACAGAACAGAATAGAATAGCACGGCAGTTGTAAACGAACAGAACCTTCAAACACAAAACAACTGCATGTGTGTATTGAAGATCTGTTTTTTGTCCTGTCTGTATTTCTGTTGCACTGTGGAAGCTGTCAAGGAAAGAAATTCCTCGTTTGTTTGAGCATACCTGGCAATAAAGCTCAATCTGATTCTGATTCAAATGCGCTTTCTGAATAATGATAAAAATGTGCATTATTTGTCATAGTTCTTGTAACAGATTAAACTTTAGGATTGTTTTATTAAGATTTTTTTCCCAGTGATGGGTTGCAGTTGGAAGGGAATCCGCTGTGTAAAACATATACCATTGGTGGTGGTGTGGAGATTCTCCCTCATGATTGTAAAGCGCTTTGGGTGTATGGCCATACACAATAAATGCACTTTATAAATACACATTACATTACATTACATTACATATGCTGGATAAGTTGGCGGTTCATTCCTCTGTGGCGACCCCAGAATAATAAAGGGGCTAAGCTGAAAAGAAAATGAATGAGAAATTCTTCATTTTTTTCATTCAGTTTTTAAAAGCAGCAGAGTGTAAATGTTGAAATAACACCATAAACTTTCAATTCAAGCACTTTCAGGAATCTGTTTTTAAGCCCTTTCCTGGCCTTGAATTCATACTGTATGTCTGAAATTCAAGAACTTTCAAGAACAGGGTTTCTGCAGGTTTCACCAAGTTAAATTTAAGACTTTTAAAGACATTTTTAAGACCATTATGAATGGAGTTTTAGACCCATAATGGGCTAAAGATTAAGAAATTGTATAAATGGCCCAGATGGAAAAGATTTTTATTTGCCCTATCAAATTTTTTTAATAATGTAATGCATTTATTAATACAATAATACATTAATATAAAAAAAAACTAAAATAATTTACATTTTATTTTTTAGCAAAATATTTTAAATATTGTGTCAAAACAAGCAAGCTCTAGTTGTATCCATACACATTTTTTTACAACATATACTTTCTTTAAAATAAAAGAAAAATTAATAAATGTTTAAAGGTTTTTAAAACTATAATAAACAAAATGTATGCGCAACAATCAGTCCAGGTCAGGTGAGGTGTCAGCAGTAAATACATGGAGAACTTTTAAACAGATGTTATTGTAAGGAAAATAATTAAACCATTATGATAAAAAAAGTAAAAAATTACCTTTGTAAATAAAACGTTTAAAGTTTTATTGAGATGATTGTACGGGTTTTGGCCGGATTTGGTAGCAAGACATGAACAAGAGAAAATTAAGACCTGTTAAAAACAGATTTAAGACCTACAACACAACATTTCAGTACATGTAAAACTTTTTAAGGCCTAAAGTTTGGATTTTAAGATTTAAGACTTTTTAAGAGCCTGCAGAAACCAATGAAGAAGCCTGGGAACTCTATACTGTACTATGCAAATCAATAGCTACAGATTTCAAGCTTCAAAATCTCTTCTTTTGTGTTCATCAGAAGAATGAAGCACATAAAGGTTTGGAACCACTTGAGGGTGAGAAAATAGTCAGTGGATTTTCATTTTCTGGGTGAACTCTTTCTGTAAGTACTCTAATAAAACAATGCTAAGTAGTCTTAATACCTTGCCCGGCTTGAGTTTGACCCAGAGCTCATTGTCTGCCCTCCTGAGCTCAGCGGTGAGTTTCCTGTGAGCAACATACCAGCGGCGCACCACATCATGGGGGACCGTGTTAATAACTGAGCGGTCGTAGTTATTATACCTGAAAAACAAGGGAACAACACACTTTCAGAACTAGGGAATGCAGAAAAAGCTTCATCCATTATGTCACATAATCAGGGCTTGCTCTAATCATTTGATTTAATAAAGGGGGCATGTTGTAAGGTGTAAAAAGGTAACACTTCAGAATAATGGACCATTAGTTAATGTATTTATTAACATTAGCATAGTATCTTCTAATCTAAAGCAGTGGTTCCCAACCTTTTTTTGTCTGAAACCCCCTTTTTCCCCGGAAAATGTTGTGAGGCCCCCCTCCACATTTATTGATATAATCGCTCGTATAAGTTTGCAGTAATGATGACAAAAAATGTTGTTTTCAAACAAACGGTGTGTTTATTACGATATCTAGATATGTCTATGCACAAATAATAGCCTGATGTTTCCCAGAGATGGGTTGCAGCTGGAAGGTCATCCGCTGCGTAAGACATGTGCTGGATAAAGTAAAAGATCATTCCGCTGTGGCGACCCCGGATTAATAAAGGGACTAAGCCTAAAAGAAAATGAAGGAATGAATAATAACCTAATGTAAAATATAAAAGCAAAACATCAGCAGGCCATTTATAACTGAAAAGCGTAAGCCTTTGCCTTTAAATTGACCCTGTTGGACATTCAATAACAAAAATATCAGTATTTACACAAGTGTATAAGGGAAAAATATATAGGCTATTACAATGTACTACTTGCATGTTATGTGTTATGCTCTATCAGTTAGTGTGAGGATTGCTGCGTGAGCAGACTCTGTCTTTTTTGTGGAGGACGGATTACAAATTTGTCCATTTATGGTCAGCTAGGACAGTGGTCTTCAACCTTTATCCAACCCGGGCTCATTGTGGAAACGTAGCCCCACGGACGTTTCTGCGGACCGCGATTTACGTCCCGGGAGGTACGTATTCGAGCGTTTTTTGTTTTCGCGGATCCGCGAGAGGCCGCTGTGCGCGCTTTATCGCATCTCGGGCGCCTCTCGGTAGCACGCACCATTCGCGCCCGCGCCGTTCTCGCGCGAAAAGCCGCCAGATCGAAAAAAAAAAAAAAGCAAAAGCCCTCGTCTTCGATTTCGATCGCGTTTTCGGATCCCGCCGCGTTCTCGCCCTTATTTTTTTGATTCCGTTTTTCGTTTTACCTGATTTCCAGAACCTGCTGTTCCCCGGACTCGATCCCGGTCGTCGTCCACCGCGGCCGGCTCCGGCTCCTCCTCCGGGGCCTCCGCTCCGCGACGCAACGCTGTGAGCTAAGCGGACAAACTGATTGCATCGGGAAAGCCCTCCACTCGGAGGCGAGCCGTCGGCCGGCGATCGCGAAGAGGAGGGGCGGAGCGGCGCCACACCGCCCCGCAGCGTTCGCTCGAAAAAAAACAAACGCGGCCTTTACGTACCTCCGACCACGTAAATCGCGGTCTCCAGAAACGTCCGCGGGGCTACGTTTCCAGAATGAGCTTGGGTTGCCTTTATCACCACGCACTGGTCAACGCTTGACAATTTTACTGCGGGGGGTTGGGGGTGTTTCGTAGGTTGCTATGCGACCATCAACCGTTTTCTCAGAGGATGACAAACTGACAAAACATTGCTGTGACTCTGATACAAGTTTTATTTATGGAGAAATGTGCAAAGCGCTGCAGTGTTTGTGTGTTCTGTGTTTGTCTGAGAAATTTAGTCTTACCGAAATCTAAACATTCCAGACAAGCTGAAGCTGATCGGTCAATTCTTGTCACATGACTCGCGGTGTGCTTACGGCCTGGGGTTCATTGGTGCAAGTGCATCACGCCGCTTGTTTGCGCAAGCCGCGCACCTCCATTGTAAACAACAAACTTGTGCAAACTAGAAATATGTTACATGCGAACGGCCCCTTAAAGGTCGCCGTCATTTGCGATCTCCATCAGTTGATCTTCTTGCACAGCCATGGTGGATTCACCTGATTTTGAACTCACACTATCACTTTATGTTACAACCTCTCTAAAAAAATATGACTCGTTTTAAACAGAGAGAAAGCAACATAAAAAATAAACTTAGTAAACATAGTAATCGTTTTTAAATCAATTTATTTTTACCAGAAAACCAAAAATAACGATGCCATCCTTACCCCACAACAACGAAAAAACAAATGAAATAATAAATCTCCAGAGAAACAAAAAAGAAAGAAAAGAAAACAATTCAATGTCCACTAAAGCACCGGTAGTACCCAGTCATGCCCAAAAATCACCGAATCTCCCTCCGCGTTGTGGGAACTGGATATTCAAGAATAGCGGACGCTTTTGCATCTACAGGCCAGACCTTCCCCTGACCAACCCGCTTACCTAGGTAAGTGACAGTAGCTTTAGCAAATTCACATTTCTTTAGATTAAGCGTTCAATGTCGATGCCCAAAAGTGGGTTGCGGATCTATTCCTTGGCAGTTTGCGGTTCGTTCACTGAGCCTTTCTCCCATAGCAAAGAAACTTTCCAAAGACGTCTGTTTCTTACTCATTTTGCTGCTTGTGGGTTAAATTTGGGCGCTAAAGTGATCAAGATGTAAGTGAGAGAATACAGTAATTTTTCAAAATAAAAGACTTTTTAAAATAAAAGATTGTTCAGACTGAGACAATAAATAAAACGGAAATAATTATTGATTTCTTGTGCGGCCGGTACCAATTGATCCATGGACTGATGGTTGAGGACCACTGAGCTAGGGGATAAAATGAACTAAGCCAACATGATCATTCTCCTAGTTGTCTACTGCTAAGATTTTTTAAAAATATGACCCCCCTGTTGGGAACCGCTGTTCTAAAACATTAATAAAACATTAATTAATCATAGTTCAACATTCACTAATGCATTATTAAAATTCAAAGTAGTGCTTGTTAACATTAGTTAATGCGCCATGAGGTAATATGAACTAACATGAACTTTAAATTAAATCACATTAACATTTACACAAAATACGGTTATAAATGTATTGCTAGTTGGTTTATTTAGTAAATACATTAACTGATGGAACGTTATTTTCAAGAGTTACCAAAAATGTGCAATTGCCTGGAAGATATGGTGCAAATAAAACGCATCTCACCGAATCATGTAAACCTCATTGTTCCAGGGATAAACGTTGAGCACGGGGCCGATGCCGATCATGTGGTTGCGATGATCGCTGAGGTTTTCCACATAGTCGTGTTTAATCGGCACGTGAGAAAGCAGCTGGAAGTTCTCCGGCGTTTGCTGTAAAACGGTGTCGGCAGCGTGAAAACCGTCCACCAGCAGAGTCCTGCCGCCCGTGCCCTCGTGCCGCAGACAGTGAAACACCTGAATGCTTCAGCAGCAAAATAAAGGAATAAAACAAACACGTTACAGCCATATATTATTAATCTCAATCAGGATCTACACAGTAATTAGCCCTCCTGGGAAATTTTAATTATAACTATAAGTGTTTTCCCAAGTGATTTCCAAGCTTACGATTACATTATATATTTGGAATCACCAATAAAATTAAACAACATCTGTCTCATTAGTTTCGTTTCTAGACATTCGAAACAAACAATATCGAAATATTTTCAGGTTGCTAAGCACACTCTGGCGAAGCAGTGGCGCAGTAGGTAGTGCTGTCGCCTCACAGCAAGAAGGTCGCTGGTTCGAACCTTGGCTCAGTTGGCGTTTCTGTGTGGAGTTTGCATGTTCTGCCCGTGTTCGCGTGAGTTTCCTCCGGGTGCTCCGGTTTCCCCCACAGTCCAAAGACATGCGGTACAGGTGAATTGGGTAGGCTAAATTGTCCGTAGTGTATGAGTGTGTGTGTGAATGTGTGTGTGTGGATGTTTCCCAGAGATGGGTTGTGGCTGGAAGGGCATCCGCTCCGTAAAAACGTGCTGGATAAGTTGGCGGTTCATTCCGCTGTGGAGACCCCAGATTAATAAAGGGACTAAGCCGACAAGAAAATGAATGAATGAATAATGCGCACTCAAAAGAAACAAGATCATGACACCGACCTCATTTATGGCCATCTACACATTATCATCCTCTCTCCTGCATTCATTATCAGACTGTACCTCACGTTCGTTTCATACAGATTACAGAACCAGAAAACCTTTGTTTTTAAGTGTAGTTGGTTCATTTAAAATTGTTATGTAAATGAATCAACAGATTCTTCCTAACCCTAATCATCAGATGTTAAGCTTTATGTGAATATATTTCTGTCAAGCAAGTATTCGCCACAATTTCTTCCCCGGAGAAACGTCTTTAGCGATTGGTGATTGGCTCCTGTACCAGTAGACAGGGATTCATTTGCCATATTGACCGTTACACTTTTCCCGTTTTAAAACTATATGATTGACATGTCTTGTGTATTCTATAGTCTTTGTTTTAAGGCAATGGGTTTACTTGTTTTTTAAAGTCGACTAATCGCTTTAAAACCAATGGGTTTACTCAATTTTCTAAAGTAAAGTCACTTTACAAGCATCATGTTTACTCACTTTTTTCAACCCAGGCTCATTTTAGATATGTACCCCTGTATACATTTTTGGAGAGCACCAAATACGTCCCAGGAGGTACTTTTTTCATAGTTTTTGTTTTCGCGAATCCACCAGAGGCTGCGTTGTACGCTTTATCAGACCTCAAATTTTTCTTGTGTCATTCGCTCCTGCTGTTCTCGCGTAAATCCAGCCGAGGCCCCTGTCGACTGACTGATTTATCCTCCCGCCCTCTCCCTTCCCTAAACCCAACCAACAGTGTTTTCAAAAGCAATTCAAAAAAATAAAAGCCCTTACAGCTGCTGATTTTTACCACGTTTTCAGATCTTACCACGTTCTCACCCTGTTATGTACTTGTTTATTTAATTTTTTTGCCTTTTGTTTGTGTTTTACCTGCTTTCTGGATCATTCTTCGCCTGACTCGAAACCTGTCATCGCAGTTAACTCCTCTCTGCGTTTCAAGTGTGCCGACATACGTAGCGAGCTATTGGACAAACTGGAAACGGCGGGAAAGCCATCCACATGAAGGTAAGCAGTCAGCTGGTAGCGTGAAAAGAAACAGAATGCGTCGACGCCGTCAAACCGCCCTGTAGCGTTTGCTTTAAAAATGAAATGAACTCATAAATATCTATGGCTACATAAATCTCCAGAAATGTATACGGGCGTACATTTTCACAATGAGCCTGTGTTGTTGTTTTTTACAAAAGTCAACTAATCACTTAAAACATCGGTTTACTCACTTTTTAAGAATAGTCAACTATTTACTTTAAATACTACAGCTTTACTCACTTTTTTAAGTAAAGGTATTCATTCATTCATTTTCTTTTCGGCTTAGTCACTTTATTAATCTGGGGTCTCCACAGCGGAATGAACCGCCAACTTATCCAGCATATGTTTTAAGCAGCGGATGCCCTTCCAGTCGGAACCCATCACTGGGAAACATACACACACTAATTCACACACATACACTACGGTCAATTTTAGCATACCCAATTCACCTGTACCGCATGTCTTTGGACTGTGAGGGAAACCGGAGCACCCGGAGGAAACCCACGCGAACACGGGCAGAACATGCAAACTCCACACCAAAAAGCCAATCGACCCAGCTGAGGCTCGAACCAGCGACCTTCTTGCTGTGTGGCAAACGTGCTACTCACTGCGCCACTGCGTCGCCCCTAAAAGTAACTAATCGCTTTAAAAGCGACGAGTTTTTTAAGTGGAGTCAACTAATAATAATAATAATAATAAACTTTATTTGTACAGCACTTTTCCAACATACATGCAACTCAAAGTGCCTCACAAACAACAACAAAAGCATTAAAATAGACCACAAAAACTTATCACATCTACTGAAATAAAAGCATTCATGTACACAAAATATAAGTATATATCCACACGATCACACACACAATAGTCCTTACATATGCAGGCACACACCATACATTACATACATAAACCTACAACAAAATAGATCAAATGCGCACACCCTACAAACTTGTTTAATCATACGCGATTTTAAAAAGATGTGTCTTAACACGCTTTTTAAAAACATGAATACTTGGGGATTCTTTCACTTCAAGGGGGAGACAGTTCCAAATTATTGGAGCATAATGGCTAAAAGAAGTGCCGCCAGATCGCATCAGGTTTACAGGATAAAATTCTAAAAGTCCAGCACTAGAAGAGCGTAGCAAACGGTTTGGATTATATTTTGTTAAACAGTCGGAAATGTAGGAAGGTGTCATATTGTGTAGTGCTTTAAAAACTAATAAAAGAATCTTAAAATCTATCCTTTGGTGCACAGGCAACCAGTGTAATTCTATTAATACTGCTGTAATGTGCTCTCGTTTCTTTAATTTCATTAAAACTCTGGCTGCTGCATTTTGTATCAATTGCAGCTTCGTTGTAGAACCCTTAGGTAGACCAGTATAGATCGCATTGCAATAATCAAGCCGAGAGAAAATAAAAGCATGAATTAATTTCTTGGCATCATCAAAAGATAGGAAAGAACGAATTTTGGCAACATTTCTTAAAAGATAAAAACATGTTTTTGTAACTTGATTAATATGAGATTTAAAATTAAGATCACAATCGAAAATAACACCCAGGTTCTTTAATTCTTTTTTGGATTGTAAACCTAAAGGACACAGTTCTGCTTCAATCCTCTCTCTAATAATTTTTTACACATGCAATTAGTGCATGCACACCTTAGTTTTCACCGTTTATTTGGTAAATCCCGAGTTATTTTTTAGGTTTGCACTGGTATAAGCAGTTAGTAAATCCGTCCCTTAAGCTCTTATAATAGACCAGAGAGAAAGTGAATTTGACTCCTGCCGCTCATCTAAGCATGGCCTAAGGAAACTCGAGCTGACAGTCAGATGTTAAGTCTTGGGTTTCTAATTGAAGCTTAACTCTGATTTTCCTGTTTACCCGCAGGGCTCCTGAAAGTATGACGTATCCGTGTGGCGATCCAGTGCCAGCTTTGTGTAGGCAGTGTCTCCGCGAGAAAAGTCTGAAGTGAAGTTCCACATCCGCCCGTAGATGGTCTCCCTGGAAACAAAGAATTGACATACTTAAAGGGACATACTAAAGCTCACAAGCAGCTGAGTTGTGCATAATTATCTACCGTTTAGTAGTTGGAGCGTTTTATTTACTCGCCCTCACCTCCGTTGCTATATTATTCTACTGCGACATTGCCAAAGGAGATAAATGACGTCAGTACGTAATAACTGGTTATGATCTCTTACTGAACTGATATCGAATTGTCCCCATCTGCATCGCGGTGCACCGAAGAAACAATTATTTTTCACGACAATTCATATTGTATGTGTGTGCCCATACATTTAAAGTACTCCCCATAGACATTGTAATCAGGGCTTTACATTAACACCCCCCAACCCGCCAAATGTGGGTAGATTTCTGCTTTGGCGGGTTAGACAGACACCTCCACTAGCCACTTTGGCTGGTTGAAAATAATTTTTTAAATTGTAGTTTTCCTAAAAGCAGGGTTCGACAGTATAAGGATGGCCCAATATGCGTGCAAATGTGATCTTAAAAATCGAGAAGTAAAATAATTCACGCGAGCAGAAGAAAGCAAGTGAATACCGAATGAGAGGATGATGATCACTCGCGCTAACAGTTGATGTAATGCGATGCCTGCTTAAAACGCGTGCGCGCTGCCGAATCGTGAAGCAACCGTGTCTGGAACAGGTTTTGGAGACGCAACTGTCATCGTTTCTCTTTCAAATAAATTAGACAAATAGTGATGAACATGCATCCACAGTCCTGATCCATTTAAGAGCTCAAAATTTGTCTTTTTGTAAGCAGCACCGGTTGCTTTCACTTTGAACAGATTATTAAATGGCCGTGAGCATGTGATCATCCTTCCATTATCACACATGGTATGTTTCACCTGCTTTCATTTGCTTACGGTTTTATTTGCTTTCATTTTTGTTAAAATGGTTTAATTTTTTTTTTTTACAACATTGCTTTGGAGATGAACTCTGCATTTATGTGCAGTCAACTGCTGATCTGAGAGATCTTTATCCAGGACAGATTACTGTGCATATTTTTGATACATGACGATAGTTATTTTTTAAAAGTCAATTGCTTTTCTTTCTTTTTTAAGAAATGTTTTGTTAAATAAAAAGTATAGTATACAGCTATACTTTGCTTGTTTCGACACATTAAAAATTTTTGGCTGAGAAATAATTATTGTTTAGTGTGGTTATAGAGATAAATTTGGTAAATCGTTAATTTTGAGCTCTAAAAAAGTCGTGTGAAATAAAAACTAATTGTAATATAACACTGTGAAACCATGACCCATTTGCTCATGCTCATTAAACAAGCTCATACTCGACACACAAAAAGTGAAATGAATGAGAACGCATGTGGACATAACACACAATTTAAATCAAGTAATTTTAGCATGTCAACGTCAAATTTATGCATATAAAATGTATTTACCCAACAACAAAATTGTGGCTACTGAAAATGCAGAGTTGCTAGTTACATTGGAAAATTACTAGCCACAGTGGCCGGTGATTAAAAAAGTTAATGTCAAGCCCTGATTATAATTAAAAGACACCTCATGGTCTGCAGCTGCGATATGTCAACGCGGCCGCCATCTATTATAAAGTCTATGGTACTGCCATTCTCTGCTCATGATTCGTTTGCGTACATACTATGTGAAGTATCACAAGCAATGAATCAAATTATTTTCCTGAAATACACTTTGCATTTGGGGATAATCCAGCGCAGCTCTCTGATAAGAAGGAGATCGGTCTCTCCTTCCTCTCTACGCAGTGTTGGATGAACACAATATGTAGCATATTCCTCTTTCTGTTTCTACTTTGGAGAGGAGAGGATTACAGAGTATCAAGATTACAGAGTATCACTGCTTGAATTGACTTGCGTAGGGTGACACAGTGGTCAGCACTGTCGCCTCACAGTATGAAGGTCGCTGGATCGAGTCCCGGCTGGACCAGTTGGCATTTCAGTGTGGAGTTTGCAGGTTCTCCCCGTGTTGGCGTGGGTTTCCTCCGGGTGCTTTGGTTTGCCACACAGTGCAAACAAAACTAAATTGGCCATAGTGTATGAGTGTGAATATGTGTGTATGGGTGTTTCCCAGTACGGGGTTGCAGTTGGAAAGACATAAAGGGACTAAGTTATCAAATAAAAAAATGTTTTGCGAATTTTTCTGAATGGATTAAGTAATACGCATCAGACTCTGTACTTTGTGTACGTGACAAATATTTCGGACTTCAGTGTGCAAAGACCTTAACTCAATATTGTAATGCATTACTTTCTAAAGTATCTTTCACAAACACTGAGGATGGCATGGCTCTCCTTCCGATTGCTCCGTTGTCAGCCTTACCACCCCTTCAGTAATTCTGTCTAAAATGCAAGACTAAAAATGCAAAGGGGTTGGTGGTCCTGAACTTCTTTCTGTCAGACTGACAGATTAACAAAAGCTCTGGACAGAGAGCTCTTAAGGAGTACTCCTGTTACAGCGGAGAACAAGAATGGGTCCAAATGTGCAAATTATCCAGCTCTAGCTCATTAGTCACCGGCGATGCAAAAGGAGCTCCTACATTTGAGTGCCTGACTTACAAAAGGCAGCTGGACCCGTTTGAAAGCAGATTGGTGTGTTCAAGCGGTGGGAGCGCTAGTGGAGTTAATGCTATAGAGACACCTGTGTGCCAAAAAGATATAAGGTGGCATGATGACAGTGAAAGTTGAAAAAGGACCAGGTCTTTGTTTGCCGATTCCTTAACCCTTGTGTATTGGACTCCCCTTTCATTATGTTGGCGACTGTTTTTGCCCCATTGACTTCCATTATAATCACATTTTTTGATTGAAGCCATGACACCAAATAATGCATTCTTGAGTGGATTGGCACAAGTAAATGTCTTTTCATCTCGTTTTACACTTGAACATCTAAATAAATGCTTAAGTCTATTTAACTAATTGTATTTTAATAACATTAGAACACCGATGCTGTAAAAAGTACCGTAAAAAACTGAATAAAGTAACATTAACCGTTCACCTGAAGATTATACACTAAACATTCAGGATGCGCGCGCAGCGAGGTTGCAGAAAAAAAACAGCAGCGCTAGCATTTACAGCGAGGGCATGACATCTGATGCGGTATAGAGTTTGTTGTTGTATTAGAGATAAGTTATGTTGATTACATATTATATATATTATTTACATGATGCTTTCAGCTTATTATAGCCAACCCAGGCTCATTCTGGAAACGTAGCCCCGCAGACATTTCTGGAGACCGCGAAATACGTCTCAGGAGGTAAGTATTTTTGCAGTTTTCGTTTTGCGAATCCGTGAGAGGCCGCTGTGCCGCGCTTTTTCGCGTCTTGAATGCCTCTCGCAAGCCGTTCGCACCCGCACTGTTCTTGCGTAAAAAGCCGCCAGAGGCTGCTGTCGAGTGACCGTCTGTCCGACTGACTGAATGACTGAACGATTGACTGGGCGGCCGACCAATCAGCTGACCCAGCCACCCTCCTCCTCCACCTTCTTCCCTAAACCCAAGCGACGAATTACAAATACCGTCCAGAAAAAGAAAAGCCCTCGTCCGATTTTGATCGCGTTTTCGGATTTCAACCCTTTCTCGCCCCGTTATGAACTCATTCCCTTTATTTTTTGGATTCTGTTTTTTGTTTTACCAGATTTCTGGAACCGCTCTTCCCCGGACTTGAAACAGGTCATCACCGCGGCTGGCTCCTCCTCCTCCGGGCCTCTGCTCTGCCAACGTAACACGACGAGCTAACCAGACAAACTGGTTGTGGCGGGAAAGCCCTCCACACGGAGGTGAGCCGTCAGCCTAGCCGGCGAGCGCGAAGAGGAACGGCGTCACACCGCCCCGTAGCGTTCGCTTGAAAAAACTAAATGCAGCCATACGTACCTTCGGCCATGTAAATCACGGTCTGCAGAAACGTCTGCAGGGCTACGTTTTCAGAATGACCTTGGGTTGATTACAACAGCTCGTCACTCAGTAATAAGCAGTTAATTCTGCAAAATTATAGATAAAGTGAGCGCCGTTCATCTAACAGGTCCATTTGCGATAACACCCTCTCAATGAATATTGGATAAGACGAAATGGCCAAGCATCCAGCCCCAATCAATATAACTTATCTCTAATACAAGAACAAACTCTGTACCGCGTCAGTTGTCATTCCCTCGCTGTAAATACTAGCGCTGCTGTTTTTTTCTGCAACCTCGCTGCGCATGCATTCTGAAAGTTTACAAACTTTTTTTGCATCCGGTATGCGTGGTTGAACCCGTGTGACTTCATGTGTGATGTAGGTTGGTAATTCCCCTATTGGTAGGGTTAAAAACACTAGCTGTGCATATACCCCATTCCACACTCGGCCATCAAACTACACCTTTGTTTGTTGTCAACACTCGCCCCCTAGTGGTAAAAATGACAAACTGTGCCCTTACATTTCCCATCAAAAAGAGTTTGCGAGATGTAATGGAGTCATTATAAACACTAGGACTGACCTGATGAGGCTCACTCTTTGGGTCACAGTTTCTGTGGCTTCCAGAGTTGGGGGAACACCTTCAACAAATGCAATCCCATACAGCAGGAAGTTGTTCAGGAAGTTCTTCAGCTCCTCGTCGCAGCTCATGAACTTGTCCCAGTTTGCAGCGGGAACTTTAGCACTGGAGTAAATGTGTGCGTTCCAGAGGATGCGAGGCTGTATGGCACTCCTCATCTGGCCCTCGTAGCTGTTCTGGGCTAGCCATGCTAGGTTGTACCGCGTGACGTGACCATCTGGCCCTGGATTACAAACAACAGGGAAATGACTTCATTCAGGGTTCCCACTCTTACATGGACACTAAATTCAGGCAATGTGTGTGCAGTCAATCGCTCCGATTACATTGGGAAAACCGGCGACAGCTGCAAATTGCGCTGTAATGTTTGGCTAGTCAACTGCATGGTATGGAAACCTTATAAACCTGCTAGACATGCGGATGATCCCGTCTCAAACAGCTGCCATTGCACGGCTCAGACACGTTGTAGTGTGCTATTTAACACAACTGCCTCTAGGAGTCGCCAATGGAATTAAAACAACCACACACAAGAAACACACGTACGCCAGGCATGAAGTTGGACTGGACCAACGCACATTCCCACATTCATTTCAACGTTAGTAAATCCAAACGTGAGGGTGAAACCTGGCGTACGCAAAGTTTTAATAACCCCTAATGACCCCCCGCCCAGAAAGTGGCAGGCCTGAGCTGAACTTTGTCACATTTGTAATCCTTAGTTGACTTACAATGGTTTTAGGAAAACCACTCCAAGTCAATTATTCCCATACAAACTAAAAAGGAGCAATTAAAAAAATATTTGACAATAATTTAACAATTTTACTGCAAAAGCTTTTGTCCTGAGGGAAGGTTTGTGACTGGGAGTGAATAAATCACTAATGCTGCTGTCCTGGCTTCCATTGTGTATGTGCAAAATGTCCAGAAGAAAGTGTATATAACAGCTCAGGTGAATCAAGTGAATCGAGATATTGCATTTTGATGACTATAAGTATGGAAGCATACGAGTAGCATAATTCAATTCAAAATGTAATATGCAAAGTGGCAATGCAATATGTTAAATGGCAATGTATTTCTGTATTTGAATTAGCATTTTCCAAGACATATGAGCAATGTTTGGTGCAGAATGAAAATGTAAATTAAATTACATTGTTTGCATTTCTCATTTAAAACACTGTTTTAATTTGTAAATTGTATCCACATTTTAAAGCTTTATAAGTAGCAAAATTAAATTGAAAATGCTTTACACAGACTGAATTTGATGTGAATAAAGTACAAGCAGAAACTGTAGCAAAATGATCATTTAAATGTTATTTGTCCTAAATGCATTTACACTCGCGTCTAGGAAACGCAGGATTACATTTTCAGCATAACAGCATGGGATGCGTGTAGCAAAATTAATTTTGAAATGTAATAAGCAAAACGATAATGCAATATGTAAATGGCAGTGTATTTCTGTATTTCAGTTAGCATTTTCCAAGACATATGTGCAATGTTTGCTGCAGAATGAAAATGAAAATGAAAAAAACATAATGCATTTTCATTTAACACATCGCGACGAATGAAAGCCGATTTGAAATTGAAAATGCATTCTGGCCTGGCCCCGCCCACAGACGGCCACCGTTGCTGCAAGGCAGGATTTAGGTTAGGTCGTCACAGCTGCCGCGAGGACTATTTGGGACATTTGGCAGCATAAACATGGCGAAGTCTGTTCCTCAGCGGCTTCGTGAAGCTGCACGAGCCCTCGAGCTTGAACTGGGAAATACTTTAGAAAACCAATCACCTCCTAGCTCAGTAAACTTGGCTTAAGGTTTGATATTCGCGCATGCAGTTTTAGGGATCATCTGCAAATTACATCGATCTGCAAATTAATTTTGCTACTTATAAAGCTTTAAAATGTGGATACAATTTACATATTAAAACAGTGTTTGAAATGAGAAATGCAAACAATGTAATTTAATTTACGTTTTCATTCTGCACCAAACATTGCTCATTTGTCTTGGAAAATGCAAATTCAAATACAGAAATACATTGCCATTTAACATATTGCATTGCCACTTTGCATATTACATTTTGAATTGAATTATGCTACTCATATGCTTCCATATATAAGGACAATTTCTCCTAAAATTCTAAAAGGCTAATGTACAGGATTCACATGACATTAAGTTAACATGACATTAGGTCAACTGACATGAAGCTGGGCCAAAGTAACACAGACATAAAAGTCATGAGGATGTATGGAGCGCTGTTACTATATAACCGACTGCAATAATGTAATGCTGTCTTTAAAGTGAGTCACATAGGTGGTCTGTCTGCGTTTCGTAAGAGTCAAAGTCTATCTTTTTCCCAGAAGCTTATCTTTACTCAGAAATAAGATATCCATCTTTGTTTTAGAAGAGTGTTAAATCTTATCTTAGCACAGGTGAGAACTGACACAAGCAGACAACAGTCTTCTTATCAGTCACAATACTAAGCAATCTTGGAGAAGCTACAGTTGAAATCAAAATTATTCGCCCTCCTTTCTTTTTTCGGTCCTACTTAATACACTCAAAAAAATCAACTAGGCATGTATTGGATTTACAAAATAAAAACTTGTCAGATTGAAAAGAACAAATCAAGTTTACGTATGTTAAATGATTAATTCATGTTATTTGAAACTGAATCAAGAAATAATCAAATGAATTTGATCAGAACATGTTGATTCAATGAGACTGAGACGCTTCAAATCGACAACTCTCACTCTGGAGAGTCACTTCGCGCATATCAGTAGGTGGCGGTAGTGCGTTTGGATGTCACCATACGAAAACAACAAGAAGAAGTATCACCGCGTGTTTTCGGCACAGTTTGGGAATTGGTTTTCCCAAGAGCTTGAATGTTATGCATGTTATGTTGTTGGCTATATGTTTCCTATACATTTTATACTTTTACATTTTGAATAGGAGTACCAAAGTGAAGAAAGCTGTTTAAACTCAATTGGTAAAAAAAAATGATGTTAACGTCCTACAGGTATTGCTTGGGGATCAGTTTTCTTAGGAGTCAAGGTTATTTTGTTGGCTAAATGTTTCTTATACATTTTACATTACATATTACAATTTTGGATATTATATAACATTTTGTATCAGAATATTAAAGAAGAAATTTGTTTAAATGTGATTAGTGCCTGCTAAAGGCTATAATAAAAGATATATATATATATATATATATATATATATATATATATATATATATATATATATATATATATATATATATATATATATATATATATATAAAACATGTTTTCTGTCCTTTTTGTGTTGAATTACTTAATTTTACATCTTGCTTCATATTATTGTCATTTAAAAAATGTAATTTAAACAACAATATTGAACAAGAAATTTACTGGCTGATTTAACAAGACATAATTTTGTTAAAGTAAAGCTTTAGTGTTACATTGAGTAAATTAGAATCATTTTAATTAGAATAACACAATACAAACATTTTGAGTCAATTAGTTGCAAAGAAGTTAGACTGACATATTGAAACCATGTTTTATCTACAAATGTGTTTTGTGTTCATACAACATGTTAAAAAGCAGTTCAGGTTTACTTGATGGGATTAGATGCATAAAGGGTGCCACGATTAAATCATGTTCATTCAACAATTTTTTTTTTTTGAGTGTATTAAGTGTCCTTAACTACTATGTACTTACATCAAAAAATAAATACAATGTACTTACTGTGCTTATAAGGTATTTGAGAGCACTTGTGGTGCTTTTGAGTTGGGATAGAGGTTGGGTTATGGACAGGTTTGGTGGCGTGGGTAGGTTTAAGGGTAGGTTAAGGTGTATGGGATGGTCAACAGTGTATTTACAAATGTAATTACAAAAGTTAATTACAGATGTAATTACATACATGTATTTAATCAAGCATAAGTACACAGTAAATACATGTATTTACACAATAAGTACATTGTAGCAAACTATTAATTCTTGTGTAAGTACATATTAGTTAAGGCCACTTAATATAAAGTGGGACCCTTTATTCTTTCACAAATATTTCCCAAATGATGTTTAACTAGTGTTTATATCTATGTGCTTTATTAGGCAACCGCTACACGAGACATGTTGAAAATCGCTTCAGAATGCGAAATGCAGTGTATACATTCATTCACCTCCACTCTGAAGAGGCATCGGATTTGTTTAACGTTTAAGCAAGATTAATCCACTCACACGTCAGGAAGAGGTTGTGTTCGTCCACTCTGCTCTTGGAAGGCCTGATGGTCAGATCGATGCTGGCCGTGTCCAGATTACGCTGGTTGGTTTTTGAGTTGTAGCATGAAGCTGATCTGCAGTGGTCTCGCAGCCAGACATAGTCAAAGTGCATTACAAGACCACCATAGTTGAGCTCTGCAGAAATATAGCAATTAAACAACAGTCACAACCATTCCTTGTCTGTTTTTTACTACTATTCATTGATTTTCCCTCTAAAAACGGTAAAATCGGCTTTGCGCCGTGGTGCATGGTCTAACAGGGTTGAGCTTATTCTCTTAATGAGTTATAGGTGTGTTTTGAAAATAAACCAGAGTCAGTGTCTCATCTCCCATTCCCTATAAGAGCCAGCAGCGTCGTGCCATGAGCACATTTGCTATTTACATGAAGTAAAGTAAGTGTAAGTGGAAAAACTGAACACTTCACTAGCAAGAAAACAGTTAAACAGAGCATCTACCGCGCGAGAATGAGAGATAAATTATAAACTTTCACTTTCGCTCTTGGATAGGGAAACCTTTACGCACAGACATCCATTAGCCTATAAATAATTAATTTTGTTTGTTAAGCGCAAATGTTTGTTTCAAAACTATTTCTAAATTCAGTTCTAATCTCCAGCAAACGAATAAATGAACAATAATAATGAAGTGTGCTCAAAAACCTGAGTTATATCCAAATACACCTGCCGTGCCCCATATGGTCTAAAACCTGACAGGTGGGCAAATCTAAGCTTGTTTTAAATAAAACAAATATAAATATGCATATAATAAATAATATTGCTAATAATAATAACATTATACAAAAGCAAATTGTTATGAACTGAAAAAGCCTCCCGAGATGAAGAAGGCATGAAAGCAGTGGTTTCTATATTTATGTAGGCTAGAAATTAATATGCTTTGTAATATTTTAATCTTTTATATTTATATCCTATATACATCCTTATTATATCCTATATATATATATCCTTATTATTTTGATTCTTTTTCATATTTAAAGATACTTGCGTATTGCTCTACATCCTGTGTGTATTAAGTAGTGTGTAAGCGAGGCGCACAACTAACGCGCTATTATAGTTTCTCAAAATAGCAATGCACCAAAACACGCCTCATTTCTTAGACCAGACCGCCTATGGGCGCACATATGAGCGCAAATGCATTGGTTATTTAAACAGTAAAATCCTACATGACTTCACGCTTTAACAGGCAGTCAAGCAGGTCGCACACCAAAATCGCGGCGACACGGCGCGGACATGACAGTTTGAACTATCACACACCAAACGCGCACATTTGCATGATATTTAACATGAAACTAATCAGATGGCGCTCTGTGGCGCGGCTGAAATATGACCTGCGTGCTGAATCGTGGCTGGGCGGCGCCAGTGTGTGTATAGAAACCTGTTTAGAATTCTAAAATCCATGGCGCTGCGTGGTGCCTCGCCGAGAGGCGCTTCTGATGTGCTTCCTGCTTCATACAGAGAGTGAACCAAAGCACATTGGTGCCATTATAGTGTATTAAATATATATATTTTTAAAATCGCGATTTCTCGATTTGATTCAAAATTAAATCGCCTTAAAACGTAAATTCGAATTAATCTGAAAAATCGCCCAGCACTAATTTGACTTCAACTATACATCTATAATAACTATACTAATAATGCACAATCTTGAAGGCATGTGTTTGTGTCTATAAAACATGTGTGTGTTTCTCACCCACCCAAGCAGTCGGGCAGCAGCTGATAGTTGCATGAAGATGAATGAGTGGCGGTGTGCTGGAATCTGTGGCTCTGCGCTCCCAAACTCTCCAAACCGTGTTTCCGGCTCACAAATCCTCTCAATCTGTTCAACACTCGAATTAAAGGCATGATGACCTGCAAAAAAAGAGCTCAATAGTGACTCTGCGACACAAAACCAGTCCCATACTGGTTATTTTAGCCATTGAAAATACATAGTTTGAGTCAAAATGCTTGTAATGAATTATAACTTTGTTTATAATAATTTATAATCATTCTATAAATGTATCTATATTCATTTTCCATCTGCTAAAGTCTCTCCCATCATACCATTACATCCATCAGGGGAATAAACGACAACTATTCCGGCATATGTTTTACGCAGCGGATGCCCTTCAGTTGCAACCCAGTACTGGGAAACATCCATTCACACTCATTCACATACACACTCATGTACTACGGCCAATTTAGTTTATTCGGTTAACCTATAGTGCATGTGTTTGGGCTGTGGGGGAAACGGGAGCACCCGGACTATAAATGAACAAAAAAAAACAGAGCGTGCTTTCATAAATTGTTTGCGTATGTGAAAATGCAACACATGCGCTGTCAAACGGATGGAGATTCTTTCTTAATTTGCTGACGTTTTTTGTAATTGTTTGTGTTTTCTTAAATTGCAGTGTGTTGAGATCTCTAAACCACCGTATATTTCACAATAACTGACACTTTACGTCATTTAGATAAATTTAAAGGTGATTTTCTCAATATTGTGTTATTTTTTTAACCCTCAGAGACATGCGGTACAGGTGAATTGGGTAGGCTAAACTGTCCGTAGTATGTGTGTGAGTGTGTGGATGATTCCCAGAGATGGGTTGCGGCTGGAAGGGCATGCACTGCGTAAAAACTTGCTGGATAAGTTGGCGGTTCATTCCACTGTGGCGACCCCAGATTAATAAAGGGACTAAGCCGACAAGAAAATGAAATTGAACATTTAACTCAACTTCATTTAGACAACTTTAAATTTCATTTTCTCAATATTTAATTCAATTCATTTAATTCATTACAATGTAGATTGTGTCAAAGCAGCTTCACATAAATGGTCATAGTAAATTGAAACAGAGTAGTTCAGAGTAGTTTAGTTTATTTACATTTTTTAGACCCTCAGATTTTTATGTAGTCGTATCTTATGTTGCACAGATACATTTTTGCTGTAGCCAATAATGGGTAATTTCTTTTTCCTTTATTATAATAATCATACTACTTATTAATGTACTAATGTACTTCTGATAGGAGGATTTTTCACAGGTGTGTAGGTAGTTATTTCTCTTAGTAAACACGTCATTCTGACAACTTTAACAGTGATTTTTCTCAGTTTTTAGATTTATTTTAACCCCTAGATTCCATATTTTCATATAGTCGTATCTCAGCCGAAATATTTTCCTGACATAGCAAAGCATGCCTAAATGGAAAGCTTATTTATTCAAGTTTCATATAGGCTTCATTTAGACAACTGTAAATTTCATTTTCTCAACATTTGCATTTTTTTAGACCCTCAGATTTTCCTATAGTCGTATCTTATGTGGCACAGACACATTTTTGGCTGTAGTCAATAATGCATTGTATGTTTTTTTTTCTTTTTCCTTTATTATAATAATCATTAGAATATTAATTAAAGACCATGCTCCATGATGACATTCTGTAAATTTACTGACATGCAAAAGCCTCTAAAATGTTCTTCTAAAATGAACTCTTATACAGCAAAAACATTGGTTATTATCATTGTGTTTAAGATGAAAAACTTGATTTGAACATAAGAATTTAAAGCAATTGCTGTGTTTGGAAGAAAGATTTAGACGGCACTTTGCTTTCCATCTGTAGCTGTAAATTTGCATTTGTAACTCTTCATATATAAAAAAAAACACATTTTCAATTTGTAAAAATTTAATTCTGATTACTTTAAAGGTGATTTCCTCATTATTTAGATTTATTTTTTAACTGATTCCAGATATTCAAAGTCGTATCTTAGCTGAAATATCTTTCTAACATTACAAAGGGTTGAAGTATTGTATTATATGTGACCCTGGGTTGACATAAGGAGTCTTATGTTACACATGTTTTAGCAATATTCTTGATTATTTTTTTGCCAGATGCATTGGGTCAAAATTATGCATTTTTCCTTTATTACAAAAATCATTGGAATATGAATTAAAGGTCACGTTCCACGATGATATTTAGTACATTTCCTACTATAAAGAGATGCAAAGTGCCATCTGAAATGTACTTCTGATAGGAGGATTTTTCACAGGTGTGTAGGTAGTTATTTCTCTAAGTAAACACATCATTCTGACAACTTTAACAGTGATTTTTCTCAGTTTTTAGATTTATTTTAACCCCTAGATTCCATATTTTCATATAGTCGTATCTCAGCCGAAATATTTTCCTGACATAGCAAAGCATGCCTAAATGGAAAGCTTATTTATTCAAGTTTTATATAGGCTTCATTTAGACAACTGTAAATTTCATTTTCTCAACATTTGCATTTTTTTAGACCCTCAGATTTTCCTATAGTCGTATTTTATGTTGCACAGACACATTTTTGGCTGTAGTCAATAATGCATTTTATGTTTTTTTTTCTTTTTCCTTTATTATAATAATCATTAGAATATTAATTAAAGACCATGCTCCATGATGACATTCTGTAAATTTACTGACATGCAAAAGTCTCTAAAATGTTCTTCTAAAATGAACTCTTATACAGCAAAAACATTGGTAATTATCATTGTGTTTAAGATGAAAAACTTGATTTGAACATAAGAATTTAAAGCAATTGCTGTGTTTGGAAGAAAGATTTAGACGGCACTTTGCTTTCCATCTGTAACTGTAAATTTGCATTTGTAACTCTTCATATATAAAAAAACACATTTTCAATTTGTAAAAATTTAATTCTGATTACTTTAAAGGTGATTTCCTCAGTATTTAGATTTATTTTTTAACCGATTCCAGATATTCAAAGTCGTATCTCAGTTAAAATATCTTCCTAACATTACAAAATATTGTATTATATGTGACCCTGGGTTGACATAAGGAGTCTTATGTTACACATGTTTTAGCAATATTCTTGATTATTTTTTTGCCAGATGCATTGGGTCAAAATTATGTATTTTCCTTTATTACAAAAACCATTGGAATATGAATTAAAGGTCACGTTCCACGATGATATTTAGTACATTTCCTACAGTACACATACAGAGATGCAAAGTGGCATCTGAAATTAGCTTTTGAAATGAGCATTTTTCAAAGGTCATCTCCAGTTATTTCTCTTATATAATAAAATATAATAAATATATTAAAAAATAAGTTCTTTCGTCGTGTTTAAGATGAAATAAAAATGAATATGAACATAGAAGGCTGAGAAAATTATAAATTTACAAGAAAGTTTAGATGACACTTGACAGATGCATTGGGTTAAAATTATGATTTTTCCTTTATTATAAAGATCATTGGAATATGAATTAAAGATCACGTTCCACAAAGATATTTAGTAGGTTTCCTTCTATGAAGAGATGCAAAGTGCTGAAAGTTGCTTCTAACATGAGCATTTTTCACAGGTGCGTAAGTCCAGTTATTTCTCTTAAATAGCAAAAAAATTAATTAATTCATTGTGTTTAAGGTGAAAAAAAAAACTTACAAGCCTGAGAAGATGATCAATTTACAAGAAAGGTTTAGATGACTGAAGTTTGGAAACTCTTCATATATAAAAACTCAATTTTTGATTGTTAAAAACTTCATTTCTGACAGCTTTAACTGTGATTTTTCTCAGTATTATGATCCCCTAGATTTTCATATAGTCGCATCTCAGCCTAAATATCCTCCTAACAAAGTATTTATCAACAGAAAACTCATTCATTCAGCTTTTATGAGATGTATACATCTCAATTTCACAAAAATTGACACTTGTGACTGGGTTTGTGAAGCAGGACCAATTCAATCAAGTTCATCTGTATAGCTCTTTTCACAATGATTATTGCTACAAAGCAGCATTAAATGTGCACATTACAATCAAATTCAGAAATGCTGTGTTATTACATAGCATAACTTTATTTAGCTACTGATAGCTTAAACAAATAAATAGCCCTAAACAGTTAAAGTTATTATATATATACAAAGTTAACCTGCAGTTAGCACATATGTGATGTCTATGTGTACACAGTATTTGTGCCCACATTTCTGTGAACCCCTCGTGCACACATAACGCATCAGTAGTCAATGAATGCAGTCAGCAATACTCTCTGGACAACAATGTAGCTGTGATTACAATGTAATATCATCATCATGTCTGCATGCGCGCTTGTTTTCGCAGTCGACTCACATGCGAGATGAATCCGCCACTTTCAGCTGCTGCTCGGCTTGTGACAATCGTATAACTTCGGTGTGAGCTTTCTCTTAAAAAGCTGCAGTATATAATCCTCAATATCAATCATTAAACTTGAGCTCGCTCCCCGCCATTGTGTCCGTCATGAGATGTACACGCAGGCGCTCATGTCCCCGAAATGAACTACTATGATGAAGACTGGCTCATTAATATTCATGAGAAGGGGCCGTTCCATTGCGGGTTACCGGGCAACTTGAGCATCACTTTATGAATATTAACAAGTTCAGCCCTCAGCGGAGCGATTCCACACATCATCACTTCATTCATATTAACACGCCCAGTCAAGCCTTTACCATAGTAGGATTCATAATTTAAAGTGTTAGGGGGGTTTTTGATTTAAAGGGATAGTTCACCCCAAGAAATGCTTGTTTACTCGCTCGGTCCAAACTTATATGAGTTTAATGTTTCAGCTGACTATAACAAAATAATATATTTTAAAGAAAGCTGGAAAACTTTAGGAAAAACAAACGTGAAGTAATTATCATTGCCTATGCTTTTAATTTAGATTAACCATGAGGTGATCTGATAGTTGATGGTAAACTTTGACCAGTCAGAATCTGGTGATGAAACCTATAAAACCTATGATGATGTCATCAATAACATACAGTCCAAGCTCCTTTTTGAGCTCACAGGAGTGGCACGTGTCTGTGAGCAAGATTGTGAATTTTGCCACACAAACAAACAGATGTTTTTTAATAAATTTTATTGTAATAAATATTTTATTTTTTTCAAATATTTATTCTGTTTTATATTAATTTATTGATTCATAAATTTTCTTTATTTATTATTTGTTTGTTTCTTGTTGTGTGATTGTATTTATTTATTCATTCATTCATTTGTTTATTTATTTATTTTTATTAATTATTTATTTATTTATCTATTTATATTATTTGTTTGTTGTTGTGTGTTAGTATTTATTCATCCATTTTTATTTATTTTTATTCATTATTTACTTTTATTAATTAATTATTTATTTATTTATTTATATTATTTGTTTTTTTGTTTTTTGTTTGTATTTATTTATTCATTCATTTGTTTATTTATTTTTATTTATTATTTATTTATTTATTATGTATTTATTTATTCATTTATTTTTTTATCATTATTATTATTATTTATTCATTAATTCATTAATTAATTCATTCATTTATTTATTATTTATTTATTTGTTTGTTTGTTTGTTTATTTATACCCATCTGAGGACCCCTCAGTTCTGAAGCAAGAAAGGAGGGGGAAATTATGCCACTGGCCCACAATTGGTGCAGGGCATAGTGGGCTAGTTGCGATGACCCCATCATATTTTGCATTTATTTATTTATTCATTCAATAATGAGCAGTACATTTAATGATCAACAACTTAGGATAAAACTTTAATATTCATAATTTTCCTTCAAAAGACGACACAGCGGAATGAACCGCTAACTGTTTCAGCTTATGTTTTATGCAGCAGATGCCAGCTGCAACCCAGCACTGGGAAACACCCACTCTGTTAAAATAGTTGGGTTAAAAATACCTTAACATATAACCCAACTATAGGTTATTATAGCACTTTCCCAACTAGGCTATTTTAACCTGATGTTTTGGGTTATTTTAATTAAATTTTATTGTTTCCATTCTGTTATTACTGTTGCTACAATTACTAGTACTACAATAAATTTTATAATTATGTGTAAATAAATAACACACAGCTTTCAAAAATATAGAAAATGCTTTTTTTCTATTTCATTTTAGTTCCAGACACTTTTGTTAAAATAAATCACAAATTACAAACAATGAAGAAACAGAACAAAGCACAAACAGTTATAAACTGTGCAAGCAGCAATCCTGTGTTGATGGAGCAGAATATGGAGCTCTGTGTGCTGTAGAGACTGTCCAGCAGCTGCAGCGGGCTTCACTCAGTGTACCCAATCTACAAAACATTTAGCAAACACTATTAAAAGATGGTCTTGGATGGTAAAACAGATATAAAAATCACGACACGGAGAGGTAATTTGATAAAAATAACAACAATAATATTGTGTTATAGCTTAAATAAACTTTATAACACAAAAACAACATTACTTACACATATTAATACAACTGTTTCGTGTTCGTTAAATCGGTTAACTACCTACAGAACCAGCCTAGGATAGGTTTTAGCTGGTCGACCAGGCTGGTTTTAGAGGGGTTTTAGCCATTTCCAGGCTGGTTTCCAGTCATTTCCTGGTCTTAGCTGGTCAGGCTGGGAGATGACCAGCTAAAACCAGCTTGACCAGCCTAGCCAGGCTGGGAGCCCAGCCAAAACCAGCTATTTCCAGCTTAAATCAGGCTGGTCAAGCTGGTTTTAGTTGGATTTAGCTGGTCATTTTCCAGCCTGACCAGTTAAGACCAGGTTGGAAATGGCTGGAAACCAGCCTTGAAATGGCCAAAACCCCTCTAAAACCAGCCTGGTCAACCAGTTAAAACCAGCCAACCAGCCTAGGCTGGTTTAGGCTGGATTTTTCAGCAGAGTTTACTGTTGAAATTAAAATATTTAACCCAACTGGTTGAGTTATTTAATGAATAACCAAATAAAGGTTAAAAATAACCCAAGAAAGCACCAAATATTTAACCCAACTGGTTGAGTTATTAATAAATAACCTAATAAAGGTTTAAAATAATCCAACAAAGCACCAAATACTCAACAATTGGGTAAAATAAATAACGTATATACTATGCATATGCTACATCAGATACACTACATAACATGCAAAATGTTGAGTTGTTACCCAATGTGGTGTCGAATATGGACACACACAACCATTGGTTTAACAACGTCTTTTAAATTTAATTTAAATGTGGGTCAAATATGCACAACAGCAACATTTGCTTCATTTTTGCGCTTAAACTTACAACTTATCACAGTGGCTCAATGGGTAGCACGATCACCTCACAGCAAGAAGGTCACTGATTCAAGACCCGGCTAGGTCAGTTGGCATTTCTGTGTGGAGTTTGGCAGTTCATTCCGCTGTGGCGACCCCGGATTAATAAAGGGACTAAGCCGAAAAGAAAATGAATGAACGAGTCTATCATTTACTGTGAGTAAATGATCATTTGTGTGGAAACTATCCCTATAAGAGGTAATTGTAGTTGATGATCTTGACCACCAGATGGCAGATAAGGCGTTTGTTTAGATAACTTTTATTTCATTCCACTCAAACTCCCGTGAAGTAGACATGTAGCACATATTTCCACCCCTTACTCCTCTCTTTTCGATATGTTAATGTGCTGATTAATGTCTCCTATAACTGTTTTAAGATTTCAGTGGCCATAATATTCACGCTAGAGAAGCAGCAGATATCACTCTTCAGAGATCCAGAACTGCTTTATTTAACAAGATCAAAATTAGCAAGCTAAAAAACATAAAGTGAGCAAGGAGGGGTGATTAAATTAGGTTATAATCACACAACATTTATTTATTTATTTTTTTTTATTAGATTGTTTTTTTTTTTCTGTTGCTTGAAAGGTTTTGAGAAACGCACACTGATGAGTGAATGAATCGGTGATTTTGAACGCAGCCTGAGTGCGCGCACCCGCTGCCAATAACAATTAGCTCACAAACAGGTGCTGACGATCAGGACAGAGCTATAAAGTTTGCCGTGACGCTTATACATTCATATGAATATAGAGTTTTGCTACTTCTGACGCAGTCATGGGTAGCATGGGGTATTCAGTAAAACTCTTTATTTTATCGCTATTGTGTCATCAATGGCTGTGTAATGGTGAGTAAAATGCACTTAGAGTTCCCTATAGATGTGATTTATCTAGTGCTGCATTTTTCACTAGTTGCACTTGTTTAATTGTCGTGGAACCTTTCAATTGACCTGAGATGACTTCCGTAATGCTTGTGGACTTAAGGCTCGGGTGTTTAAAGGTGATCCTGGAGGGCTGGTGTCCTGCTGCCTTTAGCTCCAACTTGCTTAACACCTGCCTGGTGGTTTCTAGTATACCTAGTAAAAGCCTGGTTAGCTTGTTCAGGTGTGTTTGATTGGGGTTGGAGCTAAACTCTTCAGGACCGAGAGTTGACACACCTGACTTGAGGGATGGTTCACCTTAAAAGTAATATGTACATTTCCTGCTAGTTGTTCCTAACCTTTGAGTTTCTTGTGCACTGTTTTGAAATGAGCTGATAACCTGTAGCATTTGACTTCCAAAGTAAAAAAAAAAACAAAAAAAACAATGCTATTAGATTAATTTATGCAGATGTTTAACGCTTATACATTTATATTTAGGGTTCACCAAGAAATAAATTAAAGCTGAGTGAATGCATTTTTGGTTTTAAGTAACTCTTTAAAACCTAAAGGAAAATTTAAATCCTTTTACCCCTTAAAACTTGAGTTGGAAGATTGGGTAAGTTAATAATTTAAAAGTATTAGTTTGGCTAGTAGTTAGGTTGCCCTTGATGCTTGAACCTAAAAAAAAACAATGCAGCATTCAAGATCTCTGGTATAATATTGGATTTTTATATATTATTTGGCTTAAATTCATAGGGGTTTGACTGCTGAATTTGACAAATGATGTCTTAAATTTCTGAAAAATATTAATTTAATTTATGACCCTAATCTTCTCCACAGCTGTTAATAGTGCAAGATCACTTGAAGTGGCTGATGTGCTCTCATGGGAGGGTGTGCCTGACTCCATTTTTGAAGGTGAGCAAGCCACATTACCATTAGCCCATATGCTAAGACCAGCTTCAAGATTGCACAGTTTGCTTGTCTCATTTAATGCCTGACTTTATATTGTAACATGACTTCCTTTTTAGTGAGTATATTTGCTGATAGTTCAGCATTTAGTTAATTTGTGCTTTTTTTACATATTTAATAGGAATTATTATTATTATTATTATTATTATTATTATTATTATTAGCATACTAACAAGAGTGGAAACGCATCTAAAGATAATTGTAGTAAGTGTTGAAGCTAAACAGCAAGGCAATAGCCCACCAGGAATGCTTTTTGGCACCTTTTGGTATAAATGGTTTGTCCAACTTTAACGTAGTTCCTAACATGTAGACAACCTTAAACATGTCGTCAATGTCGGTCAGATTAACTGGTCCCATTCTAATACCGTAGCGTAATTGCTATTTTGAAGTGGTTATTTTCCCTTTTAAGTGACCCGTCACTTGCATGTCAAATAGCGTAATCTGAGCTCCTGCTAAAAAGTTCTCCCCCCCCCTTTACCCTAAGTTTATTTGCATTTACAAATGCAGTGAGTGTCTGTAAAAGAAATTGCGCTTAACATCTATTCTTCTGTAGGTTTGTTGGGTGGTGAGCTTCAGAATGATGAATTCCCTAAAGATACAAGTGTGCAAAACGTGTCAAACCTGGATGCAGATGTTATGGAATCTGCTTTAAATTTGCATGGGAACTTGAGCCTAGATGTTGCTGAAACAAACTTAACCTTGCCTGGAAACTTCAGCCAAGATGATGCTGCAGAGTTCAACTCTACTCTGCATGGTAACTTCAGCCTTGATGCAGATTCAAAGTCTACTTTGCCAGGAAACCTCAGCCTAGATGCTTCTGCACAATACAACTCCACTCTGCAGGGAAACTTCAGCCTAGATGATGCTGCAGAATCCAATTCCACCTTGTATGGTAACTTCAGCCTTGAAGCTTCTGCAGAATTAAACTCCACCCGACAGGGAAACTTCACCCTAGATGCTGCAGAATCCAATTCCACTCTGCCTGGAAACTTCAGCCTAGCTGATGCTGCAGAATCTAACTCCACCCTGCAAGGTAACTTCAGCCTAGGTGATGCTAAAGAATCCAATTCCCCTCCACCTCTAAACTTCAGCCTAGACGCTGCAGAATCCAACTCCACCCTGCAAGGTAACTTCAGCCTAGGTGATGCTAAAGAATCCAATTCCCCTCCACCTCTAAACTTCAGCCTAGACGCTGCAGAATCCAACTCCACTCTGCAGGGTAACTTAAGCCTAGATGCTTCTGCAGAATCCAACTCAACTCTGCAGGGAAACTTCAGCCTACATGATGCTGCAGAATCCAACTCCACCTTGTATGGTAACTTCAGCCTAGATGATGCTGCAGAATCCAACTCCACCCTGCAAGGTAACTCGAGCCTAGACGATGCTGCGGAATCCGACTCCACCTTGTATGGTAACTTCAGCCTAGATGCTGCAGAATCCAACTCCACTTTGTATGGTAACTTAAGCGAAGATGATGCTGCAGAGTCCAACTCCACCCTGCAAGGTAACTTCAGCTTTAAATCTGCTGCAGAATCAATCTCCACCCTGCAAGGTAACTCGAGCCTAGATGATGCTGCGGAATCCGACTCCACCTTGTATGGTAACTTCAGCCTAGATGCTGCAGAATCCAACTCCACTTTGTATGGCAACTTAAGCCTAGATGATGCTGCAGAATTCAACTCCACCTTGTATGGTAACTTCAGCCTAGATGATGCTGCAGAATCCGACTACACCTTGTATGGTAACTTAAGCCTAGATGCTGCAGAATCCAACTCCACCTTGTATGGTAACTTCAGCCTAGATGCCACAGAATCCAACTCCACCTTGTATGGCAACTTCAGCCTAGATGATGCTGCAGAATCCAACTCAACCTTGTATGGTAACTTCAGCCTAGATGATGCTGCACAATTCAACTCCACCTTGTATGGTAACTTCAGCCTAGATGCCACAGAATCCAACTCCACCTTGTATGGCAACTTCAGCCTAGATGATGCTGCAGAATCCAACTCAACCTTGTATGGTAACTTCAGCCTAGATGATGCTGCAGAATTCAACTCCACCTTGCATGGTAACTTCAGCCTAGATGATGCTGCAGAATCCGACTCCACCTTGTATGGTAACTTCAGCCTAGATGATGCTGCAGAATCCAACTCCACCTTGTATGGTAACTTCAGCCTAGATGATGCTGCAGAATCCGACTACACCTTGTATGGTAACTTCAGCCTAGATGCCACAGAATCCAACTCCACCTTGTATGGCAACTTCAGCCTAGATGATGCCGCAGAATTCAACTCAACCTTGTATGGTAACTTCAGCCTAGATGATGCTGCAGAATCCGACTACACCTTGTATGGTAACTTCAGCCTAGATGATGCTGCAGAATCCAACTCAACCTTGTATGGTAACTTCAGCCTAGATGATGCTGCACAATTCAACTCCACCTTGTATGGTAACTTCAGCCTAGATGATGCTGCAGAATCCAACTCAACCTTGTATGGTAACTTCAGCCTAGATGATGCTGCAGAATTCAACTCCACCTTGCATGGTAACTTCAGCTTAGATGATGCTGCAGAATCCGACTACACCTTGTATGGTAACTTCAGCCTAGATGATGCTGCAGAATCCGACTCCACCTTGTATGGTAACTTCAGCCTAGATGATGCTGCAGAATCCAACTCCACCTTGTATGGTAACTTCAGCCTAGATGATGCTGCAGAATCCAACTCCACCTTGTATGGTAACTTCAGCCTAGATGCTGCAGAATCCGACTCCACCTTGTATGGTAACTTCAGCCTAGATGCTGCAGAATCCGACTCCACCTTGTATGGTAACTTCAGCCTAGATGATGCTGCAGAATCCGACTACACCTTGTATGGTAACTTCAGCCTAGATGATGCTGCAGAATCCGACTACACCTTGTATGGTAACTTCAGCCTAGATGATGCTGCAGAATCCGACTACACCTTGTATGGTAACTTCAGCCTAGATGCCACAGAATCCAACTCCACCTTGTATGGGAACTTCAGCCTACATGATGCTGCAGAATTCAACTCCACCTTGCATGGTAACTTCAGCTTAAATGATGCTGCAGAATCCGACTACACCTTGTATGGTAACTTCAGCTTAGATGCCACAGAATCCAACTCCACCTTGTATGGGAACTTCAGCCTAGATGATGCCGCAGAATTCAACTCCACCTTGCATGGTAACTTCAGCTTAAATGATGCTGCAGAATCCGACTACACCTTGTATGGTAACTTCAGCTTAGATGCCACAGAATCCAACTCAACCTTGTATGGCAACTTCAGCCTAGATGATGCTGCAGAATCCGACTACACCTTGTATGGTAACTTCAGCCTAGATGATGCTGCTGAATCCAACTCCACCTTGTATGGTAACTTCAGCCTAGATGATGCTGCAGAATCCGACTCCACCTTGTATGGTAACTTCAGCCTAGATGATGCTGCAGAATCCGACTCCACCTTGTATGGTAACTTCAGCCTAGATGATGCTGCAGAATCCAACTCCACCTTGTATGGGAACTTCAGCCTAGATGATGCTGCAGAATCCGACTACACCTTGTATGGTAACTTTAGCCTAGATGCCACAGAATCCAACTCCACCTTGTATGGGAATTTCAGCCTAGATGATGCTGCAGAATTCAACTCCACCTTGCATGGTAACTTCAGCTTAGATGATGCTGCAGAATCCGACTACACCTTGTATGGTAACTTCAGCTTAGATGCCACAGAATCCAACTCCACCTTGTATGGGAACTTCAGCCTAGATGATGCTGCAGAATCCGACTCCACCTTGTATGGCAACTTCAGCCTAGATGATGCTGCAGAATCCGGCTACACCTTGTATGGTAACTTCAGCCTAGATGATGCTGCAGAATCCGACTACACCTTGTATGGTAACTTCAGCCTAGATGATGCTGCAGAATCCAACTCCACCTTGTATGGTAACTTCAGCCTAGATGATGCTGCAGAATCCAACTCCACCTTGTATGGTAACTTCAGCCTAGATGATGCTGCAGAATCCAACTCCACCTTGTATGGTAACTTCAGCCTAGATGATGCTGCAGAATCCAACTCCACCTTGTATGGTAACTTCAGCCTAGATGATGCTGCAGAATCCAACTCCACCTTGTATGGTAACTTCAGCCTAGATGATGCTGCAGAATCCGACTACACCTTGTATGGTAACTTCAGCCTAGATGCTGCAGAATCCAACTCCACCTTGTATGGTAACTTCAGCCTAGATGATGCCGCAGAATTCGACTACACCTTGTATGGTAACTTCAGCCTAGATGCTGCAGAATCCAACTCCACCTTGTATGGTAACTTCAGCCTAGATGATGCCGCAGAATTCAACTCAACCTTGTATGGCAACTTCAGCCTAGATGATGCTGCAGAATCCAACTACACCTTGTATGGTAACTTCAGCCTAGATGATGCTGCAGAATTCAACTCAACCTTGCATGGCAACTTCAGCCTAGATGATGCTGCAGAATCCGACTACACCTTGTATGGTAACTTCAGCCTAGATGATGCCACAGAATCCAACTCCACCTTGTATGGTAACTTCAGCCTAGATGCTGTAGAATCCAACTCCACTTTGTATGGTAACTTCAGCCTAGATGATGCTGCAGAATCTGGCTACACCTTGTATGGTAACTTCAGCCTAGATGATGCTGCAGAATTCAACTCAACCTTGTATGGTAACTTCAGCCTAGATGATGCCGCAGAATCCAACTCCACCTTGTATGGGAACTTCAGCCTAGATGATGCTGCAGAATTCAACTCAACCTTGTATGGCAACTTCAGCCTAGATGATGCTGCAGAATCCGGCTACACCTTGTATGGTAACTTCAGCCTAGATGATGCTGCAGAATCCAACTCAACCTTGTATGGCAACTTCAGCCTAGATGATGCTGCAGAATCCGACTACACCTTGTATGGTAACTTCAGCCTAGATGATGCTGCTGAATCCAACTCCACCTTGTATGGTAACTTCAGCCTAGATGAAGCTGCAGAATCCGACTACACCTTGTATGGTAACTTCAGCCTAGATGATGCTGCAGAATCCGACTACACCTTGTATGGTAACTTCAGCCTAGATGATGCTGCAGAATCCAACTCCACCTTGTATGGTAACTTCAGCCTAGATGATGCTGCAGAATCCGACTACACCTTGTATGGTAACTTTAGCCTAGATGCCACAGAATCCAACTCCACCTTGTATGGGAATTTCAGCCTAGATGATGCTGCAGAATTCAACTCCACCTTGCATGGTAACTTCAGCTTAGATGATGCTGCAGAATCCGACTACACCTTGTATGGTAACTTCAGCTTAGATGCCACAGAATCCAACTCCACCTTGTATGGGAACTTCAGCCTAGATGATGCCGCAGAATTCAACTCAACCTTGTATGGCAACTTCAGCCTAGATGCTGCAGAATCCGGCTACACCTTGTATGGTAACTTCAGCCTAGATGATGCTGCAGAATCCAACTCCACCTTGTATGGTAACTTCAGCCTAGATGATGCTGCAGAATCCGACTACACCTTGTATGGTAACTTCAGCCTAGATGCTGCAGAATCCAACTCCACCTTGTATGGTAACTTCAGCCTAGATGATGCCGCAGAATTCGACTACACCTTGTATGGTAACTTCAGCCTAGATGCTGCAGAATCCAACTACACCTTGTATGGTAACTTCAGCCTAGATGATGCTGCAGAATTCAACTCAACCTTGCATGGCAACTTCAGCCTAGATGATGCTGCAGAATCCGACTACACCTTGTATGGTAACTTCAGCCTAGATGATGCCACAGAATCCAACTCCACCTTGTATGGTAACTTCAGCCTAGATGCTGTAGAATCCAACTCCACTTTGTATGGTAACTTCAGCCTAGATGATGCTGCAGAATCTGGCTACACCTTGTATGGTAACTTCAGCCTAGATGATGCTGCAGAATTCAACTCAACCTTGTATGGTAACTTCAGCCTAGATGATGCCGCAGAATCCAACTCCACCTTGTATGGGAACTTCAGCCTAGATGATGCTGCAGAATTCAACTCAACCTTGTATGGCAACTTCAGCCTAGATGATGCCGCAGAATTCAACTCAACCTTGTATGGTAACTTCAGCCTAGATGATGCCGCAGAATCCAACTCCACCTTGTATGGCAACTTCAGCCTAGATGATGCCGCAGAATCAGACTACACTTTGTATGGTAACTTCAGCCTAGATGATGCTGCACAATCCGACTACACCTTGTATGGTAACTTCAGCCTAGATGATACTGCAGAATCTAATTCCACCCTTAGTGGCAACTTCACTCTAGATGCTTCTGCAGCATTTAACTCCACCCTGCAAGTTAACTTGAGCCTAGACTCTGCTGCAAAATCCAATGTCTCGCTCCCTGGAAACTTTACCCTAGATGATGCTGCAGAATTCAACTCAACCTTGTATGGCAACTTCATCCTTGGTGCTGCTGCTGCATAATTTAACTCCACTTTTTTGCTAACTCTAGCTTAGATGCTGCAGAAGGAAGTGCTAACTAATAATGCCTCAATCAAGTTTTTAAAATAAATTTAAAGTTTAACGAAGTTGCTGGCGAGTGTTTATTTCTGCATCTTTTTCAAACAGTTCTAACTAATGGTAGAAATGTGGTCAAGCATGTTTCAAGGAGTCAGTCAAGCTAACCTCTTGGTTTTTTTTTTTTTTTTTTTTTTTTTTTTTTTTTTTTTTTCCCTTCTCCCCCCCCCCCTCCCTTTCTCCAGTACATTTTTATCAATTTACTAAATTGACAATGTTTGCTAGCAAAATGCCAATTTTAGTTTTTCATGCAGGCTCAAAGTACCAATGGTTCCATATTTTACCTTCAGTTGCTCAAGCTGTGGATTGCAAAACTTGTAGCAGCTTAATTTTCATTGGCTTGTTTGCAGCTCTTCAGGTTTTAGACTCTAATCATAATGCCCATTCTGGGTTGCCTAGTGCTGCTTATGGGGATGACCAGGAATCAGTGCTTGGACCAATCCTCTTATCAAAGTACTATACATTTCTGGAACCATATTCTGCTACCCTTACTGTGCTGATCACAAGTTTGCTTTTCAGTTTAGTATAAATTCTAAAAATGGTGTGTCTCCTTGCTGAATCAAATGAGAGAAACCTTTGTTTTAACAATCACATGAAATGGAGGGGGGTTGTAAATCTCATTGTCAAATGGAAAACGGCTATATTAAGTATTTTACATCACTTTAGATGGAGCTTTTCTTTATTTTCAAACATTTATTTTTCTTTATCACTCTCTTGATGGGCTATTCAAATAACAAAATCCAATATAAAGTAGATACCCACATCCTGCATTTCCTTAATAGATCTCTATTCTACACTTTACTGCTTATAAATGGCGGAAGTATTTGATTGTCTCTTAATACCAACGGTGTACTTAACAGTGGATAAACCACTGCTTTATGAATGTTTGTATGGCATTTTAAAAATTTGCTTTTCAAAATTATATGTAAGCCTATAACAAAGTATACCAAAAAAATTCTAGACGGGTCATAGTTTAAAAACAGCATCTCTAGGAGACTTGATTTGCATACTTGTGTACAAATTTTGAGCATAAAGGCCTGTGCACACAGAGACATTTTTTTTGCTCGTGTCAAGGTGCAAAATGGCAGGTGCAAAAGCATCATTTAAAAAAAAAAACGCCTCATGCTCATTTTTTTGTTTTGACGTGCGGTGTCAAAACTATCTCCACCAATCAGATCGGCACTTTTGTTCATGTGCACGGAGCTGCTAAAGTTACCGTAAACAGCACTTGGAGGCGCGCAAACACAAAACTGTCAATGCGAGCGCACATTGTAGAAGATTGTGGAGCTGCTTATTGCTCTGGTCAACAATAATTTCTTCATCACTAGAGCAAGAGCTGCTTCTTGAACCATCCGTGCTTGTTCGAGTTACCAGCAAATTTAGCAACAAGCATGTGAACTTCCGCTCCTCCACTTCTTCTGCGTTATAAGTGGGTGTCAGAAGCTTGTAGTTGTGCAGCACCATCTAACGTCAAAATGGTGATTTAGCATACTCTTCTGCTTGACGCCAGTGAAAAGCGATTGGGTTTGAACACTGAAAAACGTCTACTAAAAAACTGAAAACGTCCCAGTGTGTAGGAGCCTTAAAGCTGTGGTCTCTAGAACTTGTGTGACCGAAATTCTGTCAAATGGTGCTGAGAAGAGGGGTGGGATTAATCAAGATTATAAGACATTAAAAAAGCGAGCGATTACTTAATGTTTTAAATTTTTGTCCAGGTGGGTCATGTTTTGATCCTCGATTGGTCTCACACAGTCATGTGATGTGATTTCGTGGGTCAGAGTTCACCAAACTTGAACCTTTGCACCACAGCAACCTGCAAAACTTGTTGAATGACTTTGTCTTTATTTAATTTTTTGTCTTTGAGCTCTGCAAAAATGCTTTGTAAAACAATCATTATCACACTAAATTTGGAATGACAGTCACGTATTTATAAGTGAGTTTATTAGAACACCAAATAAATGATGGTTGCTAATTTAATTGACTGAGTAAATGATCATTTGTGTGTGAACTATTCCTTTAAGGGGTATATGATCTTGACCACCAGATGGCAGATAAGGCGTTTGCTTAGATAACATTTATTTCATTCCACTCAAACTCACGTGAAGTAGACATATAGCACATATTTCCACCCCTTTCCCCTCTCTATTCGATATGTTAATGTGCTGATTAATGTCTCCCATAACTTTATTTTTAATTTTAGGATTTCTGTGACCATATTATTCATGCTAGAGGAGCAGCAGAAAATACTCTTCAGAGATCCAGAACTGTTTTAATTCAACAAGACTGAAATTAGTAGCCTACAGGACGTATTAGGAGGGAGGGGTGATTAAATTACGTTATAATCACATCATATTTCAATGTTTATTGCTTCTCTTTATTATGGTAAAATATCATTAGATTTGTTTTTGTTTATTTCTTTGAACTCTTCTTTAATGACACCCCGTCAGACTCAGAAAGACTCGAGAAACGCACACTGTTGAGTGAATGAATGGGTGATTTTGAACGCAGCCTGAGTGCGCGCACCCGCTGCCAATAACAATTAGCTCACAAACAGGTGCTGACAATCAGGACAGAGCTATAAAGTTTGCTGTGACGCTTATGTTGTCGTATGAATAGAGAGTGTTGCTGCTTTTGAGGCAGTTATGGGTAACATGGGGTATTCGGCAGAACTCTTTATTTTATTGCTATTGTGTCATCAGTGGCTGTGTAAAGGTGAGTTTAAAACTACAATAAGTAGGTTTATATTAGTGAGTGGCCGTTTACAACGGTTTCTTAAACGGGGAAACCACCAAGCAAGCTGTTTAACTTGACAATAGACATGATTGATTGGGTGTTTCATCACGGATTTTTATTTATTGCACTGCGTGTTTAATTGTTTAAACTTTTTTTTTTTTTTTTTTTTTTTTTTTTTTTTTTTTTTTTTTTTTTTTTTTGACAAATTAATTTATTCTGTTTTACTTGGCACTAGTGGACTTGAGGGATAGTTAACCTTAAAACTTGCCCTCCAAGTGGTTCCTAACCTTAGTTTCTTGTTTTACATTATTTTGAAGAGTTGAACCTGTAACATTTGATTTGGATAGTAGGACAAACAAATGCTGTTGAGTTAGTGGTTACAGATTTGACTCCTTTTAAAAAAAATAAAAATAAATCTTTAGTGTTCACTGAGTAAACCTATAGGTTTGATACAAGTACTAGTAAATAAATCACACCATTTAAGGATTTTAAGTAAATCCTTACAAAGGAAAATAAATGTACCTTTTAATCGTTGCCTAAAACTGACTTGTGTTGGATGACTATTGCTACTCTAAATTTTTATTAAAGTTTATGTAACTTCAAATTTATCCCTTTTTATTCTTTCAACAAATGTTTAAACATAAGATTGCAGTTTTTTTCCAGCTATAATATTAGCTGGGACTTTTATTTGAATTAAAATGTATTTTGTGTTTGGTGACAGCTGAATTGATCATGTTAATGCTGCTTTTTAAATTTCAGCTAAATTAATTGAATTTTACTGTAATCTCCTCCACAGCTGGTAACGGTGCAAGATCAGTTGAAGTAGCTGATGTGCTTTCATGGGAGGGTGTGCCTGACTCTGTTTTTGAAGGTGAGCATGCCATATTACTAGTTAATAATTTATTTTTATTTTTTTTAAACGTATTAGTTTTGTTCCTATTGAGTAGATTGGCTGCTAGTACAGCATAGTCTGTATAACTTATGCCCTTAATTTTAGTCACTTTGTTTTTAAATCTTTGCATGCAATTAGTAAACGCATTTAAAGATGACTTTCATTTTCAAGAGTTTAAGTAGAAGCTAATCTCTGCAGCATAATAGCCATCTGGGAATGCCTTTAGGGACAAACTTGACTAGATGGTGGCTTTGCCAACTTTAACTGAATTAAACATGCATTTGTGTTGGCAATCAGGCCAAAGTGAATGTCTGAGGTTGACTAAATTGTCCCTAATATTCCAACAAAAGACCGATTATATCATCATTGGCAGCGGTTCATGTTTTCAAGAAGTGACCTGTCATTTGCAGGTCTAAAGCATGGACCTTTTTCTTGCTTAGAATCCCCTTCACCCTAAATTATGACGTGTACAAACGAATTAATGTCTCTGTGGAAAATTTATGCTTGACTTTGGTTATTTTTATTTTTTTTTTTTTAAGGTTTGTTAGGTGGTGAGCTTCAGAATGATGGCCTCTCAAAAGACTCAAATGTGCAAAACGTATCAAACCTGGAAGCAGATGTCTTGGAATCATCTAATTTGCATGATAACTTAAGCCTAGAAGTTGCGGAATCTAACTTGACCTTGCCTGGAAACTTGAGCCTAGATGATGCGGCAGAGTCCAACTCAACCCTGCAAGGAAACTTCAGCCTTGATGCTTCTGTAGAATCAAACTCCACCTTGTATGGTAACTTAACCCTATATGATTCTGCAGAATCCAACTCCACCTTGTATGGTAACTTCAGCCTAGATGCTGCAGAATCGAACTCCACCCTGCAAGGAAACTTCAGCCTAGATGATGCCACAGAATCCAACTCCACCTTGTATGGGAACTTCAGCCTAGATGATGCCACAGAATCCAACTCCACCTTGTATGGTAACTTCAGCTTAGATGTAGCAGAATCCGACTCCACCTTGTATGGTAACTTCAGCCTAGATGATGCGGCAGAGTCCAACTCAACCCTGCAAGGAAACTTCAGCCTTGATGATTCTGCAGAATCCAACTCCACTCTGCAGGGAAACTTCAGCCTAGATGATGCCACAGAATCCAACTCAACCCTGCAAGGTAACTTCAGCTTTAAATCTGCTGCAGAATCCAACTCCACCCTTAGTGGCAACTTCACTCTAGATGCTTCTGCAGAATTCAACTCCACCCTGCAAGGTAACTTCAGCCTAGATGATGCTGCAGAATCCAACTCCACCTTGTATGGTAACTTCAGCCTAGATGCTGCAGAATCGAACTCCACCCTGCAAGGAAACTTCAGCCTAGATGATGCCACAGAATCCAACTCCACCACCTTGTATGGGAACTTCAGCCTAGATGATGCCACAGAATCCAACTCCACCTTGTATGGTAACTTCAGCTTAGATGTAGCAGAATCCGACTCCACCTTGTATGGTAACTTCAGCCTAGATGATGCCGTAGAATCCAACTCCACCCTGCAAGGAAACTTCAGCCTAGATGATGCCACAGAATCCAACTCCACCCTGCAAGGAAACTTCAGCCTAGATGATGCCACAGAATCCAACTCCACCTTGTATGGGAACTTCAGCCTAGATGATGCCACAGAATCCAACTCCACCCTGCAAGGAAACTTCAGCCTAGATGATGCCACAGAATCCAACTCCACCTTGTATGGGAACTTCAGCCTAGATGCTGCAGAATCCAACTCCACCCTGCAAGGAAACTTCAGCCTAGATGATGCCACAGAATCCAACTCCACCTTGTATGGGAACTTCAGCCTAGATGATGCCGCAGAATCCAACTCCACCCTGCAAGGAAACTTCAGCCTAGATGATGCCGCAGAATCCAACTCCACCTTGTATGGTAACTTCAGCCTAGATGCTGCAGAATCGAACTCCACCCTGCAAGGAAACTTCAGCCTAGATGATGCCACAGAATCCAACTCCACCTTGTTTGGGAACTTCAGCCTAGATGATGCCGCAGAATCCAACTCCACCCTGCAAGGAAACTTCAGCCTAGATGATGCCACAGAATCCAACTCCACCTTGTTTGGGAACTTCAGCCTAGATGATGCCGCAGAATCCAACTCCACCCTGCAAGGAAACTTCAGCCTAGATGATGCCACAGAATCCAACTCCACCTTGTTTGGGAACTTCAGCCTAGATGATGCCGCAGAATCCAACTCCACCCTGCAAGGAAACTTCAGCCTAGATGATGCCACAGAATCCAACTCCACCTTGTATGGTAACTTCAGCCTAGATGATGCCACAGAATCCAACTCCACCTTGTATGGTAACTTCAGCCTAGATGTCGCAGAATCCAACTCCACCCTGCAAGGAAACTTCAGCCTAGATAATGTAGCAGAATCCGACTACACCTTGTATGGGAACTTCAGCCTAGATGATTCTGCAGATTCCAACTCCACCCTGCAAGGGAATTTCAACCTAGATGATGCCACAGAATCCAACTCCACCTTGTATGGTAACTTCAGCCTAGATGATACCGCAGAATCCAACTCCACCCTGCAAGGAAACTTCAGCCTAGATGATGCTGCAGAATATGACTCAGCCTTGTATGGTAACTTAGGCCTAGATGATGCCACAGAATCCAACTCCACCTTGTATGGGAACTTCAGCCTAGATGCTGCTGCCGAATCCAACTCCACCCTGCAAGGTAACTTCGGCCTGGATGATGCTGCAGGATCCAACTCCACCTTGTATGGTAACCTCAGCCTAGATGCTGCTACAGAATTTAACTCAACCCTGCTAGGTAACTTAAGCTTTAAATCTGCTGCAGAATCCAACTCCACCCTTAGTGGCAACTTCTCTCTAGATGCTTCTGCAGAATCCAACTCCACCCTGCAAGGTAACTTGAGCCTAGACACAGCTGCAAAGTCCAATGTCTCGCTCCCTGGAAACTTCACCCTAGATGATGCTGCAGAGTTCAACTCAACCTTGTATGGCAACTTCATTGGTGCTGCTGCTGCAGAATTTAACTCCACTTTTTTTGGTAACTTTAGCTTAGATGTTGCAGATGGAAGTGCTAACTAATGATGCCTCAATCAAGTTTTTAAAATAAATTTAAAGTTTATGTAAACTGGATGTTGCTGTCGAGTGTTTATTTCTGCATCTTGATTTCAAATTATAAATCTGATTGTCAAATGGACAACTGTTATTACTTTTTTTAACTTTAGATCGAGCTTTTATTTATTTTTCCAAAACCTTTATCACTCCTTCTTTATGGGATACTAGAGCAAGAAAACAATCCAATATTAAGTAGATGCTGACATCCTGCATTTCCTTAATAGATCTCTATTCTACACTTTTACTGCTTATAAATGGCTGAAGTATTTGATTGTCTCTTAACAACTGTGTACCTCACAGTAGATAAACGACTGCTATGTGAATGTATGGCATTTTTAAAAATTTGTTGTTCAAAATATATTTAAGCCTATAACAAAGTATGCTAAAGAAATTCTAGATGGGTCATAATATAAAAAGAACATCTCTAGGAGCCTTGATTTGCATACTTGTGTACAAATTGAGCATAAAGGCCTCTGCGCACACAGATGTTTTTTTTTTTTTTGCACAAAAGCATCATTTAAAAAAAAAAAAAAAAAAAAAAAAGCCTCGTGCTCGTTTTTCGTTAACATGTGGCGTCAAAACCATCTCCACCAATCAGATCGGCACTTTGTTAACGTGTACTGAACTGCTGAAGTTGCTGTAAACAGCACTTGGAGGAGCTCAAGCACAACTCAATGCGAGCACACATTGTAGAAGATGCCCAGAGGCGATATGATTGTGGAGCTGCTTATTGCTCTGGTGAACAATTTCTTCATCACTAGAGCAAGAGCTGCTGCTTGAACCATCCGTGCTTGTTCCGAGTAAACAGTAAATTTAGCAACAAGCATGTGAACTTCCGCTCCTTCACTTCTTCTGTGTTAGAAGCGGATGTCGGAAGCTTGGAGTTGTGCAGCGCCATCTAATGTCAAAAGAGTGATTTAGCATACTCTTCTGCTTGACGCCAGTGAAAAGCGCTTGGGTTTGAACACTGAAACGTCTTGTCAAACGCTGCCGATAAACGCAAACTAAAAACGTCATGGTGTGTAGGAGCTGTGGTCTCTAGAACTTGTGTGACCGAAATTCTGTCAAATGGTGCTGAGAAGAGGGGTGGGATTAAACAAGTTTATAAGACATTAAAAAAAGCGAGCGATTACTCCATGTTTTAAATTTTTGTCCAGAGGGGTCATGTTTTGATCCTCGATTGGTCTCACACAGTCATGTGATGTGATTTCGTGGGTCAGAGTTCACCAAACTTGAACCTTTGCACCACAGCAACCTGCAAAACTTGTTGAATGACTTTGTCTTTATTTAATTTTTTTGTCTTTGAGCTCTGCAAAAATGCTTTGTAAAACAATCATTATCACACTAAACTTGGAATTTCAGTCACGTATTTATAAGTGAGTTTATTAGAACACCAAATAAATGATGGTTGCTAATTTAATTGACTGAGTAAATGATCATTTGTGTGTGAACTATTCCTTTAAGGGGTATATGATCTTGACCACCAGATGGCAGATAAGGCGTTTGCTTAGATAACATTTATTTCATTCCACTCAAACTCCCGTGAAGTAGACATGTAGCATATATTTCCACCCCTTTCCCCTCTCTATTCGATATGTTAATGTGCTGTTTAATGTCTCCTATAACTGTTTTAAGATTTCAGTGGCCATATTATTCACGCTAGAGGAGCAGCAGAAATCACTTTTCAGAGATCCAGAACAGGTTTTATTTAACAAGATCAAAATTGGCAAGCTAAAAAACATAAAGTGAGCAAGGAGGGGTGATTAAATTAGGTTATAATCACACAACATTTAAATGTTTATTTTTTCACTAGATAGTTTTTTTCTGTTGCGTGAACCACCTCAGAAAGTGAAAGACTCGAGAAACGCACACTGATGAGTGAATGAATGGGTGATTTTGAACGCAGCCTGAGTGCGCGCACCCGCTGCCAATAACAATTAGCTCACAAACAGGTGCTGACGATCAGGACAGAGCTATAAAGTTGGCCGTGACGCTCGTACATTCATATGAATATAGAGTTTTGCTACTTCAGACGCAGTCATGGGTAGCATGGGGTATTCAGTAGAACTCTTTATTTTATTGCTATTGTGTCATCAATGGCTGTGTAACGGTGAGTTAAAAACTACAATAAGTAGGTTTATATTAGTGAGTGGCCGTTTATGGCTACCAAGCAAACCACTAAGCAAACTGTTTAACTTGACAATAGACATGACTGATTTGGTGTTTCATCACTAATTTTTATTTATTGCACTGCATGTTTAATAGTTTTTTTTTTTAACTTTTTTTTTTTTTTAATCAAATTCATTGTTTGTTTTACTTTGCACTAGTGGACTTGAGGGATAGTTCACCTTAACTTGCCCTCTAAGTGGTTCCTAACCTTTGAGTTTCTTGTACACCATTTTGAAGAGTTGAACCTGTAACATTTGATTTGGATAGTAGGACAAACAAATGCTATGGAGTTAGTGGTTACAGATTTGACTCCTTTTTAAAAAAGGAAATAAATAAAAATCTTTAGTGCTCACTGAGTAAACCTATAGGTTTGATACAAGTAATAGGAAATAAATGACACCATTTAAGGATTTTAAGTAAATCCTTACAAAGGAAAATAAATGTACCTTTTAATCGTTGCCTAAAACTGACTTGTGTTGGATGACTATTGCTACTGTAAATTATTAAAGTTTATAGAACTTTAAATTTATCCCCTTGATTCTTTCAACAAATGTTTAAACATAAGTTTTTTTTTTTTTTTTTTTTTTTTTTTTTTTTTCCCAGGTATAATATTAGCTGGGACTTTTATTTAAATGTATTTTGTGTTTGGTGACTGCTGAATTAATCATGTTAATGCTGCTTTTTAAATTTCAGCTAAATTAATTGAATTTTATTGTAATCTTCTCCACAGCTGGTAACGGTGCAAGATCAGTTGAAGTAGCTGATGTGCTTTCATGGGAGGGTGTGCCTGACTCTGTTTTTGAAGGTGAGCATCCCATATTACTAGTTGTTGTTTTTTTTTTTTTTTTTTTTTTTTTTTTTTTTAAATGTATCGGTTTCCTTATTGAGTAGATTGGCTGCCAGTACAGCCCAGTCTGTATAACTTGCCCTTAATTTTAGTCACTTTGTCTTTTTAGATCTTAGCATGCTATTAGTAGTCGCATTTAAAGATGACTTGCATTTTCAAGAGTTCAAGTTGAAGCTAATCTCTGCAGCACAATAGCCATCTTGGATTGCTTTTAGGGACCAACTTGACTAGATGGTGGTTTTGCCAACTTTAACTGAATTAAACATGCATTTATGTTGGCAATCAGGCCAAAGTGAATGTCTGAGGTTTACTAAATTGTCCCAAATTTTCCAACAAAAGACCGATATCATCATTGGCAACGGCCTAGTTTTCAAGAGGTGACCTGTCATTTGCAGGTCTCAAGCATGGCAATTTTTCCTGCTCAAGAGAATCCCCTTTACCTTTTAAATTATGATGTGTACAAACAAATTAGTGTCTGTGGAAAATATATGCTTTTACAGCCTAGACTTTTTTTTTTTTTTTTAAGGTTTGTTAGGTGGTGAGCTTCAGAATGATGGCCTCTCAGACTCAAATGTGCAAAAAGTATCAAACCTGGAAGCAGATGTCTTGGAATCATCTAATTGGCATAATAACTTAAGCCTAGAAGTTGCGGAATCCAACTTGACCTTGCCTGGAAACTTGAGCCTAGATGATGCGGCAGAGTCCAACTTGACCCTGCATGGAAATTTCAGCCTAGATGCTGCAGAGTCCAACTCAACCCTGCATGGTAACGTTAGCCTGGATGACACTGCAGAATTCAACGCAACCCTGTACGGCAAAGTCAGCCTAGAGGATGGTGCAGAATCCAACTTAACCTTGCCTGGGAACTTCAGCCTAGATAATGATGTATCCATTTCGACCCTGTATGGTAACCGTAGCCTAGATGCTGAAGGTAGACATGGTATATTTGGCCTGGATAATGCTGCTGAATCCAACTCAACCCTGTACGGCAACGTCAGCCTAGATGATGCCTTAGAATCCAACTTCACCTTGCCTGGAAACTTCAGCCTAAACGATGCGGCAGAATCCAATGTAACCCTGTATAGCAACTTTAGCCTAGATCCTGCTGCAGAATCCAACTCGACCCTGTATGGTAACATCAGCCTAGATGATGCAGCAGAATCCAATGCAACCCTGTATGGCAACTTCAGCCTAGATGATGCAGCAGAATCCAATGCAACCCTGTATGGTAACTTCAGCCTAGATGATGCTGCAGAATCCAACTTCACCTTGCCTGGAAACTTCAGCCTAGACGATGATGCAGCAGAATCCAATGCAACCCTATATGGCAACTTTAGCCTAGATCCTGCTGCAGAATCCAACTCGACCCTGTATGGTAACATCAGCCTAGATGATGCAGCAGAATCCAATGCAACCCTCTATGGCAACTTCAGCCTAGATGATGCTGCAGAATCCAACTTCACCTTGCCTGGAAACTTCAGTCTAGATTATGATTCTGCAGAATCCAATGCAACCCTGTATGGTAACTTCAGCCTAGATGCTGCAGAATCCAATGCAACCCTGTACGGCAACTTCAGCCTAGATGCTGCTGCAGAATCCAACTCGACCCTGTATGGGAACATCAGCCTAGATGCTGCTGCAGAATCCAACTCGACCCTGTATGGGAACATCAGCCTAGATGCTGCTGCAGAATCCAACTCGACCCTGTATGGGAACATCAGCCTAGATGATGCTGCAGAATCCAATTTCACCTTACCTGGAAACTTCAGCCTAGATGATGCTGCAGCAGAATCCAACTCGACCCTGTATGGTAACTTCAGCCTAGATGATGCTGCAGAATCCAACTTCACCTTGCCTGGAAACTTCAGCCTAGACGATGATGCAGCAGAATCCAATGCAACCCTGTATGGCAACTTCAGCCTAGATGCTGCTTCTGAATCCAACTCGACCCTGTATGGTAACTTCAGCCTAGATTCTGCAGAATCCAATGCAACCCTGTACGGCAACTTCAGCCTAGATGCTGCTGCAGAATCCAACTCGACCCTGTATGGGAACATCAGCCTAGATGATGCTGCAGAATCCAACTTCACCTTACCTGGAAACTTCAGTCTAGATTATGATTCAGCTGAATCCAATGCAACCCTGTATGGCAACTTCAGCCTAGATGATGCTGCAGAATCCAACTTCACCTTGCCTGGAAACTTCAGCCTAGACGGTGATGTTGCAGAATCCGATGCAACCCTGTATGGCAACTTCAGCCTAGATGCTGCTGCAGAATCCAACTCGACTCTGTATGGTAACGTCAGCCTAGATGATGCTGCTGAATCCAATTTCACCTTGCCTGGAAACTTCAGCCTAGATGATGCTGCAGCAGAATCCAATGCAACCCTGTATGGCAACTTCAGCCTAGATGCTGCTTCTGAATCCAACTCGACCCTGTATGGTAATGTCAGCCTAGATGATGCTGCTGAATCCAACTTCACCTTGCCTGGAAACTTAAGCTTAGACGGTGATACTGCAGAATCCAATGCAACCCTGTATGGCAACTTCAGCCTAGACGATGCTGCAGAATTTTCCAAACTGTATGGCAACGTCAGCCTAGATGATGCTGCAGAAACCAACTTCACCTTGACTGGAAACTTCAGCCTAGATGATGCTGAATCTAATTCTACCCAGTATGGTAACCGTAGCCTAGATGCTGAATATGGAGTCTTTGGCCTGAATAATGCTGCAGAATCCAACTCCACCCTGCAAGGCAACTTCAGTATAGATGAATCTATTGGTATCAATGGTAACGTTAGCCTGGATGCAGGTGTTGCAGAGTCTGGTTGTAAAAAGAACAACATTACTGGTATTGCTCAGTCTAATAACACACTGCCTGGTAACTTCAGCCTTGGAGAATCTGCACTGAAAACCGTTATTGATCTACTTGGTGCTGATGTTCCTCAGCAAACAAATCGCATTCCAGATCTGTCTGAGAACTCTGATCCATACTCTGTTGGTGTGTTTCATGAGTCCAAAGCTGATGTTCTTGTGGTCTATGGTGACTTGAACAATGTGGGCAATTTAAAGGCTGTTTCTAATGCCCCTGATTCAAATGACTTGCCTAAATAATAAAACTTGTGCTTTTTTGATATTCCGTAGTTGGTTTTTTTTTTTTTTTTTTTTTTTTTTTTTTTTTTTTCCCCTCTATTTTGTATTAGTTCATGTGATCAACTGTTCTAATACACCCTTAAGTGTTGGAATGGTAAACATCAGAAATGGTGGTTCTGAATTTTGAGTTTAAAGTTGGAAATCTAAACTTAATGACTTTCTTTACAAAACCTGAGTGTTTTGTTTTGGTTCAATATAAAGCATTTATTATAAGAGCTTGCATGCACAGCTATATTCGCTGGCATACTAGTGGTATTTGCACACATTCTGTAATGAAAGTAGCTCAGTTTCTCCATAGTATCAGATTGATGTGAGACTGCCTTTGTTGAAGTTCATGTAAAGATTTAGTAGGCTTTAAGCTATTACCTAGTTTTGATTTTTATTACCTGTAAATAAGATGCTAGAGCAGGGGTGTCCAAACTCAGTCCTGGAGGGCCGGGGTCCTGGAGAGTTTAGTTTTAACCTTAATAAAATGCACCTGAAGCAGCTAATTAGGCCCTTACACGATATACTAGAATCTTCCTGGTAGATGTGTTGAAGCAAGTTGAATTTAAACTATGCAGGACACCGGCCCTCCAGGGCTGAGTTTGGACACCCCTGCGCTAGAGTAACCAAGTAACTGAATCTAAGATCTCTTATCTTACCAGCACATTTATAGTATTTCAAAGATGACTAAATGGGCACCAAGGTATTTTAAGGAACATCTCTCTTGTCCAGCTGCCACCAGAGTTATGGGGATTAAAATGGAGTTGAATTTGATAACTTGCTACCTGTGCCTTTTTTTCAGCTGCAAATGCTCAATTTTAAACAAATCTTTCCCATAATAAACCATGGGTGACTAAGGAGGAGTAAGTTACTATTAGGCCAAATTCTTGCCCTTACCCCTACTCCTTTTGCCTGTGCCCATGAAGAGGTAGTGGTGTCCCAGTTCTCTTTAGCTTGAAGTAGTAGGGCTAAGGGCAAGTGGTATACAAGGGTATGAAGATTTTTCAGGACCAAACTCGAAACCAAGGGGTAAGAAAAATTTCCTAAAATACACTAGCCACAGCTGCACCCGGAAGTAAGAAACTCAACTAATTAGTATTTTTTTGTCATTACAAATTTTTACAACAAACAAATACATGTTTTAATACATTCATAACTGCATAAGTATTTTACTGTCATGCTTTTAAAAAACGCAAAATTTCACGATCTATAATCCCTAATAATAACTTCTGTACATAAAATTCTGAAACTCGATGATACTGAAATACCCTGTCAAAAAAGTCTAGTGGCTGGGAATGAGCTTTACTGTGTCTGCTATAATAATAATGTTGTTTTCGTGTGTTTACTTAAATGAATATGGCCACTGCGTAAATGCACAGTGCAGTTACGATCTTATCGTCACATTAGATCATTATGATAACATAATATATGCCTTCTGTGATCTCCTAAAGATAAACACCAAAAATAACACAACTGGAATCACTACAGCTGTTACGATCGTCCGATCTCATATGAAGTAAGGACAAATGATGACGTGTGCAGGTGCTGTCCCAATTCTTAGGGGTAAATTTTGAAGCCCTTCCCCTTAACCCTCGGTTGGTAGGGGTACAAAAATAGAATAGGGATTGGGCCTTAATAAGCAGCTTTCTTTAGTGGTGACAAAGACCAGATTACAAATTAAAACTATCAGATAATAAATCCAAAGCCTTCTTGGAATGAGATGATCTTGACAGTCATAAGGAATGAATCTGTGTGCAGACTATGGAGGAGAGGTCAATGTAAACAACCTGGGTGGTAAGAAACCTGAACAGAATGTCCCATTTCTTTTTATTTCTGACCTACTTTGACAATATGTGAGGTAAAACACCCACTTCCTGTTGAATCAAAGGCAGGCTTAAATAATGTAATCCTACTGGATGGAGATCTACCATTTTGTTTTTTTTTCTCAATTTCTGATGATCCACACAACTTACAAGGGGTTTTCTCTTTATGTTTTATTTATGCATTTTTAAATACCTTGCATTCTGTATGGAGTTTGCATGTTCGTCTTGTGTTTGTGCGGGTTTCCTCTGGAGCTCCGGTTTCCCCCACAGTCTAAAGCTGCGATCACACTAGAGTTAGAGCTTGCAAAATTCTGTTGTACAGCACTGGGAAAAGGGGCGGGATTAAACAAGATGATTAGACATTATAAAAAGTGATTGATTGGTCCATATTTTAAATTTCTGTCAAGAGAGGTCCGGTTTAGATCCTTGATTGGTCTCACGCAGTCAAGTGATGCGATTTCACAGGTCAGAGTTCACCAAGCTTGAACTTTCCAACGCAGCGATCTGCGAAGCTTGCTTTTCCAGTCAAAGGTGATGGGTTAGTTGAATAAACTAAATTGCCCGGAGTGTAAGATTATAATTTATCTGATTGAGAAGGAGCATGAGGCCTAATCCAGTTCAGGAGAATAAATCTCCTAGCTAAAAGGGGTTAAAAGGGCAATATTGAAGGGAATATTGACAGAGGTAATGGCTGACAATGAAACAAAAAAGTAGCCTTTAAATAGTAGAGAGGATAAGATGAAAAGTAATTGGATTGTTGGATTGTTTTAACCTTTTATCACAGTCTCGAACATGTGAAACAACACATTTGATGCATTGTTTTTGTTTGATTTTTATTTTTTCCTCCCAATTTACTGGTGGTGGCTGTTCTTGCCCCATTCACTTCCATTAAAACCTCATTTACAAAACATTACAAAGCCATGACACCGTATAATCATTTTTGAATGTTGGTGGTTTTACCTGTTGGGAAGAGGTACAATTTTAATTTTTAGTTTTGATCATCTGGCACCATTAACCCTTCAGACAGGCCTGATCAAACAAAGCTTAGTTTCTGGATTTTATATAGAATACAACAGCATTTTAAAGTGTGTGTCTAAGTGTGTAAAAGTTTGGGTACTTACCCTGATGTTTCTGAGAAAATCTAAATATGCATCTCAGCCCTATCCCAGATAGCAGGCAGTAATCGGCCCGAGCTCGGCTGCCCCCCGGCGCCTCCGGCTCCGACTCGGCATCGGCGAGTGTTATCCGGGCCGAGTGCGGCCCGCAGCTCGCTCGCGCACATGCGGTTGTGATGCGGCTGTAAAGCACTGGCCCGATTCCGGTCAACCATATCCTGGCCGCTTCTTGCAAGGACTCGGCTGATGGCAACCGATTAAGTTCTTATTTTATCTAGTAATCTGTTAGCGCCACGTTTAATGATAATTTGAGAAAATATTCATGGTACTATAGCAAAAAAAAAAAAAAAAAAGAATATTTAGTGTGGATGGTCGCAATGTTTAGACGCAAACATAACAATATTATTTATAAATAGATTATACATGTCATCTAGAGAAAAACTATGTAAAATTCGCTTATTTTTGAGATAGCACGCTCCTGTGCTGACTGTTTTTTTTTTAAAGCAGAAGTTGGTTTCATAATAAACACATGCGTTACTAAATTCCTGATCCAAACTCCAATCCAGACGGTGGCGGTAATGCTCCAAAAAGCTGGTTGTCAACCACCATGGCACGAAGATCACAAGAAGAAAAAGTTTGGTTTTTCAAAGACTTCAAGTGGATTCCGGTCAGAAAGGTAAGCTTTTTACTGCTTGTGTTCTGTATAATTAGCGAATTTAGAGCTTAAAACATTTCCACGGTGTTTGGTTGTAACAGTGTTTAGTAATTTAAAACAGTTTGATACGAAATGTAACTTGCTTTAAGAAACACGACTGGAGCTAATGTATGCTAACGCTAACAGTTACAAACACGTCTGAAAGTTCCTGTTCCTTTTACACAATGTTAGATTGTAACGTGTGTAGTAACTGAAAACTGTTTTAATTATTTTAAAGAAACATGAAACGAATTTGTGTGTATGCTAACTTTGCGTTAAAGAAAGTTTCTGTAGACGAATCCATTTACTAACTTGGCAAAACGTGTTTTTTTCCTGATTTAACATTATAAAGTACCGTGGATGTTGAAAAAATCATTGTACTGGCGTATACTTATCCAACAGTATTAATTCTGTGATTATGTGTAAATAAAAACTAATCGTTTTGGATTAATAAAATATTATTGTTTATCTTGTTTATGCAGTTAGTCACGAAAATGATCGAAACTCGACTGTTTACTATTCTCTTTAAATTATCCAAGAGAAATATATTACTATGCACTTTAATTCATATGTGTTAGCCTATGTGAATCAGTTATATCTTTTGTTCAAGCTGTAATGGTCAGTTAATGTAAAACTGAACGTCTTAAAGCAGATTTTGATGTTTTTTTTTTTGTTTTTTATGTTATTGACAGTGATAAATTCTGATTTAAATGAATGGGTAACAATATTTGTTGGTTAAGTCTTATTGTTCTTGTTTAACAAAGGTTAGTGAGATCATTTTGCAGCACATCACGACCAAAGAAGTCAATGGCACACTCTTTTGAACGTGAATAGGCATGTTATAGTTGTGTGCTAAAAGTCCATTATAAGCTGTAAACTGCTGATACATTTTCAACATAGATTGAGCTTTTCAGACATTACATTACTAATTGCTTCACAAACAGCTGAAATGGTTTATTGTTATTGGCTATCATCATCATCAAACATTTTCCACAATGGTAGGTTAATCTTCATGGGTACAGAATAATGCATGTGCTTGACCATCTTACAAATCTATGTCTCAGATTCATAAGGCTGTCACTCTGCATGAATCTCCGAATAAATCTTGTGCAACCTTCTGTGTACCGATTATTTACACTATAGGTATTATATGCATTAATTAACTTTGATAGTATTTCAGGATTTGAACTTTTCTTTACGGGAGGTTAACAACAATGTGATGTTTTATTATAGTTGCATATGAGGAAGCTCGACTCAAACATCCACACGCAACTGTGATTTCTGACTGGTAGACAGATGAGGATGATGATCGCCTGTCATACATCTAAAGACAGAACAGGTTTGTTTGCAATTATTTTAAACACATACTGTCAACATTATGTCATAGATCTATTACAACCTGTGAGTTTTGCCCTGGCACTATACTAAAGTGATGTTTTGTTTTGTAAATGTATCTGATTAAGGGACAGTATAGACAAATCTATACCATGATGAAGAAAAATTACTTGGAACAAAGAGGCTGGATAAAAGGCAGGTATGAAGATTTCAGAAATCAAGGCAGCACCACAAGTACCATCACCATCAATGACTATGGCAGAAATCTTAAGACCACCATCAAGATGCACAGATACTGTACATTCCAGTACACCAGGCGTGTCCAAACTACGGCCCGCGAGGCTTTTTATAAATATCAATAGAATCTGGCCCGCTATACAAAAATGAACGTAATTCAATAAATAACCACCGGGTGTCGCTATTACATGCATTCAATTAAGCAGCAGTTCTTGTTATGATCTATCTATCTATCTATCTATCTATCTATCTATCTATCTATCTATCTATCTATCTATCTATCTATCTATCTATCTGTCTGTCTGTCTGTCTGTCTGTCTGTCTGTCTGTCTGTCTGTCTGTCTGTCTGTCTGTCTGTCTGTCTGTCTGTCTGTCTACACACAGTTGAAGTCTGAATTATTAGCCCCTCATTGATTTATTTCTTTTGTTAAATATTTCCCAAATGATGTTTAACAGAGCAAGAACATTTTTACAGTATGTCTGATAATATTTTTTCTTTTGGAGAAAGACTTATGTTTTATTTCGGCTAGAATAAAAAGCGGTTTAAAATTTTTTATGAACCATTTTAAGGTCAAAATTATTAGCCCCTTAAGTCTTCAGAACAAACCATTGTTTTAAAATAACTTGCCTAATTACCTTAACTTGACTAGTTAACTTGATTAACCTAGTTAAGCCTTTAAATGTCACTTTAAGCTGTATAGAAGTGTCTTAAAAAAATCTAGTCAAATATTATTTACTGTCATCATGGCAAAGATAAAATAAATCAGTTATTAGAAATGAGTTACTAAAACTAATATGTTTAGAAATGTGTGGAAAAAATGTTTAACTCTCCGTTAAACAGAAATTGGGGAAAAAAATAAACGGTGGCTAATAATTTAGGGGGGCTAACAATTCTGACTTCAACTGTATTTATATATATATATATATATATATATATATATATATATATATATATATATATATATATATATGTGTGTGTGTGTGTGTGTGTGTGTGTGTGTGTCTGTGTGATGTATGTAAAATTTGGCCCGCGACAACGTTTGTTTTTTTGCATCTGGCCCTCGGCCCAAAAAGTTTGGACACTCCTGCAGTACACCTATGAACATTTACAGTCTTTGTTCTAGTGCAGTTTGAGATCAAGACAGAACTTATTGCATCTCGTGATGTCTTTGTAAGAATTGAAGACATCACTAAATTTGTTAAGGTTTAATGCAGCTAGAAAGTAAAGATCAACTAGAGAATATCAGCAGTGTCTAACCCACTGTTGTATTTACAGAGGTTGTATGAGAATAAGCTACAGGTTGATTTATACTAATCTGTTATTTTTCTTTTTTAGCACGACTGACTGAAGTTTTAAAATCATGCAACGTCATAAAGCAGCAGCTGGGCCTGATTCTCACAAAACCAAAACAGACGTGATGAAATTCCAGATGTAAACACATTTGACCTTCCTTTGGCCAATTTGATTTGGAAAAGCTTGAAAATCAACTAAAGGAGCAGCCTGAACAAATAAAGAAACTGGTAAGTTCAAGCTCTTGCTAATTTCAAAGTGTTTTAAGTTTATTTGTTTTTTTTGATAGTGTTTTTGCTTCGTAGGTAGCCTACTTTTTTCCTAATTTTTTCTTTATTTTTTTACATTAGTACTTGTTCACTACTAATTATCTGTTTATCTTTTAATCACAGATGGAGTGAGGACAAATGTCCATACCACGCCACTGATAAAGAAGTGGAAAAATGCATTGCAAGGTAGCTACAACTTGCCCCTGACAGGGATGGAGGAAGAAAGAAGAGAAAGCTAATGTGTCAAATGTCTACATCACTATTTTGTTTTATTTTTTAAACAACATTTTAAGTGTATTAGGATGTTCCCTGATACTTGAACAATTTGTTTCTTTCATTTGCATTTATATATATATATATATATATATATGTATATGTATATATATATGTGTGTGTGTGTGTGTGTATATATATATATGTATGGTATGTGTGTGGGCCAAATTCTGAAGAAACATCTTGATACATTTTTAATAAACGTAATACAAATAAAATTATAAATATAAAATTGCACAAGACGTGTATATATATGAAATGTATAATCATCTCACTCATGTCTTGCTGTTTGTGCAATTGATTTTGTTCAAGTTTATTTAAAAAAAAAGTTTGACTTTATACTTCTGCAATTTTATATATATATATATATATTTGTTTGTTTATTATTATTTTAACGGATTTTACGGATTGTCATTGGTATTTTTAAGATGTTTCTTGCTATATCTTAAATTGGTTTCTATATTTAGGTTCATATAAAATTTAGCTGTTTTTTTACAAATTTTTAATTCAAGTCTATTGGGAAAACAGGGTTGTTTTAAAAAACATCTGTGTTTGTGTGTAATTTTTAGATTTTTTGTTTAAATCTTTCTGTGTGTCTTTATTGTGTTGTTTTATTGTTGTTTTTATATTGATATTCTTGTGCACTACAAAATTATTTATAAAATTTTAGTACTATTTTTTTCATGCAATCAATAAACGTTTAACATTTATTTATTTTGTCATTTGTCTGATTATTTTCGTTACAGAATATGTATGCAGTTTGCACTTTATTCAAAGGTTAAACGCAGTGCTTACACTTTGTGTTTACATTATAGCCTGTGTTTGCTGTTATATAAATTCAAATGGTTGTAATACCATATATCAAGTACCAATGTAATACCAAAACGTTTTATAAGGTGTATAAATACGGAGTCGCGCCAGCTCCGGGCCGCAGCGCACATTACCCTCGCGCCGATTCCGGCGCGGATGCGCAGCGTCGGCTCGCTTACGGCCGCCGCATCTGGCCCGCTTGATTCGGGCCGGAATCGGGCAGTGAGTCCACAGGCATCCGGCCCGAGTCCGGCAGCCGAAGTTGGGCCGAGGGGTTAGTCTCCGGCAGGCGACAATCTAGCCGGAACTGGCCCGAGTGTATTTTGCTATCTGGGTATATGGAGTAAACAAAAACAAAGACATCAAATATGGTTATAAATGAAATCAATGAGGCAAAAACAATAAATTAGGGTGAATAAATAAAAATCTAGCGATGCATTAAAGCCAATGTTGTTACTAATTGTTCCCATGTCTAATGCTGTGTTCACATCAGACACGGAATGCGCGTCAAGCGCGAGTGATTTTTAATGTCAATGTAAATGCGCAATTAGACATCCTGCGATGTTTAGAATGACGACAATTGCGCGAATGGAAAATCAATGGAAAATTGCTCAAGTTCAAAAATTTGAATGTTACGTTTACACACTCACAAATTACATGTAAACTGCGAGGGCAGAAAACGCGTCCTTTGAGAATTGAGATGCTGCGTTCTTCCTGATGGTCACGTGACCTTCACGTGTTTTAAATGGTAAATTATTTAAACATTACAGCATTCATACAACGATTTATTGTTTTTCCCCTTTTCAAAATATACACTTTGCATAAAAGCATTATAAATATACTCTGCACAATATAAATAAAACTGATTTTAATACGAATTTCAACAAACAAACACCCTTAATGTGTTTATTCCTCTATTAAGAAGTTCATGGTAATGTTTACTGTCACCGTGTCATTTAGGGAAACTCCTGAGGTAAATAAGTGATATCTCTGAACTTTAATAATAAATCTAAATAAAATGCAGCGCTTCCCATCTCCAGTCGCAATGACTTCTGGGACTTCCAGAGCGAGTTCGGTGCTCAAGTCTGCATCGTTGCGTCCTCGATATCACGATCACATCCGGGAAGTTTCACGCGTCCTCCGTACTTGCGGTCTTGAGTATTGGAACTGAACTTAGGCAGCTGATGATGACGTTGCACGAGAACACGAGGACGCAAGATCGCTGAAGAACACATATTTAGAAACAGCCAATGATTTGGATCGTAGTCTGAGTGTGTGCACCTGCTGCCAATTACCAATGAAGCCACAAACAAGTGCTGCCAATCAGGCCAAGCTATAAATGTTGCTGTGAAACTCAAGGTTCTATAGGAATAGAGAGTGTTGCTGTTTTTGATGCAGTTATGAATCATTTAGATTATTTTGCAAAGCTCTTTATTTTCTTGCTGTTGCGTCATTACTGGGTGTGTTATGGTGAGTTACTCTTGTAAGAAAAATCCTGTTTTAACAAGCGTAGTACTTTGTTAGTGGGTGCTGATTATGTGCATGTCCGTTTTTTTTACATGCGACAACAAAGTGATGAAGTGGTGTAAAATTTAGCTTCAAGCAGAGATTTGAGTGTTGCTTCGTGTTTAGTAATTGCCCTATGTAAGTGTTTAGCTTTAGTTGACCTTAATGTGTCTATGCAAAAAAAAAATTGAACCACTTTAACTTTTCAATCTTTCTAGTTAAGGAAGATGAATAGGTTAGCTTATTTTTAAATTTTTTTTTTTTTTATTTGCCTAATTTAAGGTGATCCATTTTATTTACAGTGTCAGTTTATCTAGAGCCTTTAATCTTCTGTTTTGTGACTGCTGAAATGAAAATGCGGTCACCAACAAACCAAATTCAAGATTTCTTGTTTCACAAATTCAAGATTTCTCTCCACAGCTGATACCCCTGCAAGAACCCATGGAGTGGCTCACGTGGTCTCATGGGATGATGTGCCTGACTCAGTTTTTGAAGGTGAGCAAATGACATGACTTTAGATATTAAACCGCAATGACTGCCTACTAGAAGCGTTGTTTCTCGAACCTATGAGTTTCCCCAACAATGCTTAATTTGTCTCCCCAATGTAACGCCTGATTTACTCCCTCTACAGTTTTATTTGCCCTGATTTTAGAGGACCATAGATTATATTATCTTGTCCTCAAGAGTAGATCGGCTACAAGTATAGAGGCTAGTGTAGCTCCCTTGTACTTATAGTAGTCATTTTTAAATTTAGCTGTTAACTGGCTATAGTTTGCTGCATCTAAAGAGATTTGTAGGTTATGTATTTTGCTAGAGCATCCTAAATTTCCTACCCATCTTGACCTTTCTTTGATTAATTCGGTATAAATGTCGGGGGTTGGCAACTTGATGTAAAACGTGCTATTGCTTTAAGGTATGGTGTCACCTGTGCTAGTTTACCATACAAAAAGACACTGAGTTGTAATTTGCAAGTCAAACAAGTTTATAATTTTTTTTGCAAATCTGTATGTACTTGTATAATGGGAATTCTTTTTTTTTTTTTTTTTTTTTTTTTAAACTGCGTCTTTCTGTAGATTTGCTTGGTGATCTTCAGATTGATGTCCTCAAAGAGAATGTGCATGGAAATTTCAGCCTGGAGTTTACGGATGCAAATGGTAACTTCAGCCTGTATGCAGATGCTGTGGAGACTGGTTCCAATGTGCATGGCAACTTGAGCCTAGATGCTGATGCAGAATCTAATTCAACTCTGCATGGTAACTTAAGTCTGGATACTGCTGCAGAATCCAACTCCACCCTAAATGCTAACTTTACCCTAAACAATGCTGCAGAATCAAACTCCACCCTTCATGGTAACTTGAGCCTAGATGATGCTACAGATCGTAACAATAACTTCAGCCTGGATGCTGCTGTGGAATCCAACTCCACCCTTAATGGTACCTTTACCCTAGACAATGCTGCAGAATCAAACTCAACCCTTCATGGTAACTTGAGCCTAGATGATGCTACAGATGGTCACCTAAACTTCAGCCTGGATGCTTCTGCGGTATCCAACTCAAGCCTACAAGGTAACTTAAGCCAAGGTGGCACTAAAGATGTTAACCCTAAGGTCAGCCTAAACATCCCATTAATATACAACCCGTTGTTCTGGCATAATTTTGATTAACTCTTCGAATGACCTCAAAAGTGTGCAAAGAAACAGACCTGGAGTTTATGAATGTGAATGGTAACTTGTGCCTGATTGCAGATGCTGTTGATTCTGGTTCCAATGTGCATGGCAACTTGAGCCTAGATGCTGACACAGAATCCAACTCAACCCTACATGGTAACTTCAGCTTTGACACCGCAGATGGTAACCGCAACTTCAGTCTAGATGCTGCTGCAGAATCCAACTCAACCCTACAAGGTAACTCTGGCTGGTTGACACTTAAGATTGGAACCATAACTGAAGCCTAAATATTCAATTAATTGGGGATATTTGGCAGAGCTCTTTACTTGCAGTTCCATAGTCTCTAGCTGTTAAAATTGTAAGTCTTCATGCAAAAGTACGTTTTCCTGTCTTAATCTTTCAATGAGGATAATTGCCATGCATTTTAAAGGGTCCATCTACAATTGGCCGTGTTACAAATCCAGTCTAAATAAAACCCCTTATTTTGGTTTAAGTTGTACAAATGTACTGCAAGTTCTTGGTTCATGTGATGTTGTTGTGACAGAATTTATCAAATGTAAATGCTGCCCTTGGTTGCCAGCAAAACATGAATTAAATTCAAGGTTTCACTTTAAATTCTCTCCAGCTGTTAAAAGTCCGGGATCAGCTAAAGTGGCTGTGCGCTCATTGGAGGATGTGCCTGACTCTGTTTTTGCAGGTGAGGAAGCCCACCCCCCCCCCCCCTCTTTTTTTATTTATTTATTTATTTATTTTTTTTCTCTGAAATTCAGTGGGTAACAAGAAATTTTGCTTTGGATTTTGCTCGTCAGCCTTCTGTAATGAGGTTTACTAGCTTTACAGATTTCTTTAGTGTTGCCATGGTAGATTTTGGTTATGAGGTTGACCAAATAAAATATGTAGTCTTTCCTGTGAGTTAACAAACCTGAAAACCAGATCAAACCAGTTTTGTACAGCATCAAGAGGCTTTGACATTAGCAAGAGTTCCCATTTCAAAGAGCATTACCTTTCCAATCCTGTGAATGTTTGTCGACTGAATTATGCAATGTTGTAAATGACACCCTTTTTGTTTAATATAGATTTTTTCCGAGATCTTCAGAATGGCCTCTCAAGGGAAATATTGCAAGGAAACTTCAGCCTTGAGTTTACAGATGCCAATGGAAACTTTACCCTGTATGCAGATGCTGTGGAACCTGGTTCCAACATTCATGGCAATATCACCCTAGATAAATCTGCAGAATCCAACTCGACCCTGCATGGAAACATCAGCCTAAATGATGCTGCAGAATCAAATTTAACCCTATATGGTAACGTCAGCCTAGATGATGCTGCAGAATCCAACTTAACCCTGCATGGTAACGTCAGCCTAGATGATACTGCAGAATCCAACTCTACCCTGTATGGTAACTTCATTCTAGATGATGCTGCTGAAGAATTCAACTCGACCCTGTATGATAACTTTAGCCTGGATGATGCTGCGGAATCCAATTCAACCCTGTATAAAAACTTCAGCCTAAATGCTGCAGAATCAAACTCCACCCTGCATGGTAACATCAGTCTGGATGCTGCTGAAGAATTCAACTCAACCCTGCATGGTAACTTCAGCCTAGATGATGCAGAATCCAACTCTACACTGTACAGCAACTTCAGCCTAGATGACGCAGAATCCAACTCTACCCTATATGGTAACGTCAGCCTAGATGCTGCTGCAGAATCAAGCTCCACCCTGTATGGTAACTTCACCCTAGATGTTGCAGATTTCAACTCAACCCTGCATGGGAACATCAGCCTAGATGCTGCAGAAACCAACTCAACCCTGTACGGCAACTTCAGCCTAGATGATGACGCAGAATCCAACTCAACCCTATATGGTAACGTCAGTCTAGATGCTACAGAATCCAACTCTACCCTGTATGGTAATGTCAGTCTAGATGCTGCTGCAGAATCCAACTCAACCCTGCATGGTAACTTCAGCCTAGATGATACTGCCGAATCCAACTCTACCCTATATGGTAACGTCAACCTAGATGCTGCTGCAGAATCAAGCTCCACCCTGTATGGTAATGTCACCCTAGATGTTGCAGATTTCAACTCAACCCTGCATGGGAACATAAGCCTAGATGCTGCTGAATCAAACTCCACCCTGTTTGGTGACTTCACCCTAGATGATGCTGAAGAATCCAACTCTACCCTATATGGTAACTTCAGCCTAGATGATGACGCCGAATCCAACTCAACCCTATATGGTAACGTCAGTCTAGATGCTACAGAATCCAACTCTACCCTGTATGGTAATGTCAGTCTAGATGCTGCTGCAGAATCCAACTCAACCCTGTATGGTAACTTTAGCCTGGATGATGCTGCGGAATCCAATTCAACACTGTATGGAAACTTCAGCCTAAATGCTGAAGAATCCAACTCAACCCTGCATGGTAACGTCAGCCTAGATAATACTGCCGAATCCAACTCTACCCTATATGGTAACGTCAGCCTAGATGCTGCTGAATTCAACTCAACCCTGCAGGGTAACGTCAGTCTAGATGCTGCTGCAGAATCAAGCTCCACCCTGTATGGTAATGTCACCCTAGATGTTGCAGATTTCAACTCAACCCTGCATGGGAACGCAAGTCTAGATGCTACTGAATCCAACTCAACCCTGTTTGGCAACTTCAGCCTGGATGATGCTACAGAATCCAACTCTACCCTATATGGTAACGTCAGCCTAGATGCTGCAGAATCCAACTCCACCCTGCATGGGAACGTCAGTCTAGATGCTGCTGAGGAATCCAACTCTACCCTATATGGGAACGTCAGTCTAGATGCTGCTGAATCCAACTCCACCCTGTTTGGTGACTTCACCCTAGATGATGCTGCTGAAGAATTCAACTCAACCCTGTACGGCAACTTCAGCCTCCATGATGATGCAGAATCCAACTCCACCCTGTATGGGAACGTCAGTCTAGATGCTGCTGAAGAATTAAACTCAACCCTATATGGTAACTTCAGCCTGGATGATGCTGCCGAATCCAATTCAACACTGTATGGAAACTTCAGCCTAGATGCGGAATCCAACTCTGCCCTGTATGGTAACTTCACCCTAGATGATGATGCTGCTGCAGAATCCTACTCCGCCCTGTTTGGTGACTTCACCCTAGATGATGCTGCTGAAGAATTCAACTCAACCCTGCATGGTAACTTCAGCCTAGATGATACTGCCGAATCCAACTCTACCCTATATGGTAACGTCAACCTAGATGCTGCTGCAAAATCAAATTCAACCCTGCAGGGTAACGTCAGTCTAGATGCTGCTGCAGAATCAAGCTCCACCCTGTATGGTAATGTCACCCTAGATGTTGCAGATTTCAACTCAACCCTGCATGGGAACATAAGCCTAGATGCTGCTGAATCAAACTCCACCCTGTTTGGTGACTTCACCCTAGATGATGCTGAAGAATCCAACTCTACCCTATATGGTAACTTCAGCCTGGATGATGCTGCTGAATCCAATTCAACACTGTATGGAAACTTCAGCCTAAATGCTGCAGAATCAAACTCCACCCTGCATGGTAACGTCAGCCTAGATGATACTGCAGAATCCAACTCTACCCTATATGGTAACGTCAGCCTGGATGATGCTGCTGAATCCAATTCAACACTGTATGGAAACTTCAGCCTAGATGATGCGGAATCCAACTCTGCCCTGTATGGTAACTTCAGCCTAGATGATGCAGAATCCAACTCTGCCCTGTATGGTAACTTCAGCCTAGATGATGCAGAATCCAACTCTACCCTGTATGGTAACTTCACCCTAGATGATGCTGCTGCAGAATCCAACTCCACCCTGTTTGGTGACTTCACCCTAGATGATGCTGCTGAAGAATTCAACTCAACCCTGCATGGTAACTTCAGCCTAGATGACACCGAATCCAACTCTGACCTATACGGTAACTTCAGCCTAGATGATGGTGCAGAATCCAACTCTACCCTGTACGGCAACTTCAGCCTAAAAGCTGCTGCAGAATCTAATTCAACCCTGGGTGGTAACTTCAGCCTAGATGATGCTGCAACATCCAACTCTACCCAGCATGGTAACTTCAGCTTAGTAAATTCTGCGTTGAAAGCAGTTTTTGATCTACTTGGTGTTGGCAATTCTAAACAATCCAATCAAATTCCAAGTGTGCCTGGTCCAAATGTGCCTGACAAACCGGATCCATATTCTGTAAGTGCATTTCATGAGTCTAGTGCTGACGTTCTTGTTGTCTATGGTGATTTGAGTAATGTGGGTAATCCAAAGGCTGTTACTAATGTCTCCAAAGTGAATGGTTGCTCTTAATAAAACTTGAGGCTTTTAACTTCTCCAGTTGTCTGGTCATTTCACTAATCTTGTGCTCAAGTCTTCACTTGATGTACACACTACTACCAGGGCATGAATGAGGTGTTCATTTTCTGAATTCTAACATACTGTGATGCTATATTGTAAACCCTGTTGCTTGATAACTCTGTCTTAACCCTTTAAATAGCAAAACAATTGTATTTTGATTGCCATCTTTATTAAATACTTGAAACCAAATTAAATGTGGTTTTGCTCATTGAATTTTGTGAAATTGTGCAACTCTGTAGGTTGTTATATTAAATATTTCACGCATTAAATTAAACTATATACTTAAGTAAAATAAAAATACAAACTATTTGTGGTACCCTAAATATATTATACATTTTTAAGTCTTTAACTTTTAAAAAAAGGGTAACGGTTGATCTTGAAGGACCGATAGTTTAGCTCAGACTTGCCTCAACAAACCTACCTGATTGTTTCAAGTATACCTGGCCTGCTTCTCAATGCACCTTTAATGGTCTTGCGTCCTTGTGTTTTCGTGTAACATCATCAAGAGCAGAGGACATGTGAAATTTCCTGGATGTGCTCTTGATATGGAGGACACATTATTATTATTACTGTAATTGCATTTGATAATAGGACTTCTGGGGGCTGCGCAGTAGCTTAGTGGTTAGCACTCATCTCAACGCAAGAGGGTTGCTGGTTTGAGCCTTGGCTGGGTCAGTTGGCATTTCTGTGTGGAGCTTGCTTGTTCTCCCTGTGTTGGCGTGGTTTCCCCACAGTCTAAACATGCACTTTAGGGGGATTGATGAACTAAATTGGCTGTAGTGTATGAGTGTAATAGAGGCCAGCTAGTGAATTGCTGTGCAGGTAAATGTTAGAGGCCATGGTCTTTAGACTTCTTGGTAGAGCGACCGACTCCCATGCGGAAAGGTGCTGGTTCGATACCAGCTTGGAGCAGGTTGGATGGTGTAGGACCGGCGGGGTTACATTAGTGCCGTGACCCGGATAGGAGTGAGGTTTAGGTGGTGAGTTTGACAGAAGCCAGCTAGTGAAGTGCTGTGCAGGTAAACCTCACTCCTCTAATATGTGCTCTTGCGACAGTCACTAGAGGCAATGGTCTTTAGCCTCCTTGGTAGAACAACCGACTCCCATGCGGAAGGTTGCCGGCTCAGTCCCAGCTCGGATCGGGTTCGGTGTTGTAGGACCGGCGGGGTTACAAATGTGAGTGTGTATGGTGCTTTCCCAGTACTTTGTTGCGGCTGGAAGGGGAGCTGCTGTGTAAAACATATGCCAGAATAGTTGGTGGTTCATTCCGCTGTGGTGAACCCTGATAAATAAAGGGAATAAGCTGAAAGAAAATGAATAAATGTAATACTTCTAAAATATGAACTTAAGGACATTCACCTAATAAACCTTCATGAGTTTCTTTTTTTTTTTTTACATCTCACAAACATGTTTCACATAAAGTGAGTTCTCAGAGGTTTTCTCAAGAAATAGCTTCTGGGGATAAATGCCAAGAGGTTCAGAAGAACGTAGTGTGAAGTTCTGGAAAAAATCATTTCAGAAGTTCTCAAATGTTTTCTCAAGTATGTCTCACTTCCTAAGAAGAAAGTGTGGTTAGTGATACATGATGGTTTGGCAGCAAGACTCACCGATCAACATAATAAAAAACCACTCCAGTGTTTGTTTCTTTCAGCTGCACTACCATAATAAACTGAACCAGCCTGACCAGTTATTCAGTGCTCAGCATATCATTATAATGATAAAGATATCGTAAGATGGAGGGCTTGCATTCATTTGTGCTGCTTTTATGTGACTTTATTGTGTGCGCGCTGCAGAAGTCAGCTCAAAAATAAGATTCAATAACCTGATACACTATAAAAAATAATGTCCTATATCTACTCAATTAAAATTGAGGCAACAGATTACAAGCAATATTATTAAGTAAATTGAACAAATATGGATTGGGTTAATTAAACTGGCTTTTTTAAAAGTAGCCATTTAAAATGAGTAACTGCAGTAACCGTACTTATAAAACTAGCAAATTTTAACCAAAATTATTGGTCAGTTTTACAGATTCTGATTGTGAATTTGAAAAATTTTAATCATTTTAATCACGTTGGATTTAATTAATATTTCCTCTTTTTTTTAAATTATTCAAATAGCTAATTTCTTTTATTAAAATTGATTCGATTTTATTGCAGACATTTTTAAGTAATTTTAAGTAAATAAAAAAATGACCTAAAACAGGAAATTAATTTTATAAAATAAAGTGTACATGTTAAACTTAATGAAATCTGCAAGGCCACAGAATGACTTTTTACAGAGTAACTTTCTACTACACTGAAAAAAGTTAATCAGAGATGATTCCTTGGATTTACAATTTTTTTTTACGTTAAGTGGTTGTAAACAATTTATTTGTGTTGAATTCAAGCAAACAAATTACTTTGAACATTATTAAACTTAATTTGTTTGTTTAAATTCTACACAAATAAATTGTTTGCAACAGTTCTGCATGAATCACTTTTTTCAGTGTACTTCCAGTCCTTTCAGAAAAGTAGACACCATCTCATTGGTTTAAAAGGGACCTATTTTGCAAATTTTGCATTGTTGTGTGCCAACAATGTGTAAATATAACCAGCCTCTAATGGTAAAAATGTATTCATTATATTATTAGTAATCATACCTACTAACATTATTACGGAGGGAAGCCTGGGTTTCTCTCCTAAGGCTGCTGCCCCCACAACCCGGCCCTGGAATAGCGGTTAAAAATAAATACATGAATAACGTTTGTAGTCTGACCTAACATCTAAAATAGCTAATCAGAGAATTCTGTAGGTCAGAAGGCAATAAATATCCCTCAAAACCCTGTAGACTTAAATAGGTTTTATTAAATAAAGATGTCATTAAAAACAAATACATCAATGCAAAAGGGTGGCGCAGTAGGTAGTGCTGTTACCTCACAGCAAGAAGGTCGCTGGTTCGATCCTCGACTGGGCTGGTTAGTGTTTCTGTGTAGAGTTTGCATGTTCTCCCTGCGTGGGTTTCCTCTGGGTTCTCCGGTTACCACCACAGTCCAAACACATGCAGTACAGGTGAATTTTGTAGGCTAAATTGTCTATAGTGTACGAGTGTGAATGAGTGTGTATGGATGTTTCCCAGAGATGGGTCGTGGCTGGTAGGGCATCCGCTGCATAAAAACATGTGCTGGATAAGTTGTCGGTTCATTCCACTGTGGGGACCCCTGATTAATAAAGGGACTAAGCCGACAAGAAAATGTACAATGACAATGAAAATGAATGAATAATAAAAATAATAATTAATGGAGCTAAAAAGAATGGTTTTTGCCATTTTATAATAGGATTATTCACATAAGAGAATTTAATGTAAACATACATTTATATATATATATATATAAAAGCACAATAAAATTGTTTGATTCTAAATTCAACTTTTTAATACTGTCTGTTGTTTGTAACCTGCACATCAATTACATTATGAACCAGGGGGTGTAAACATTGTAGGATCTCCAAGTCATCGCTGCTGGAAAGACTTCAAATATGCATGAAAGCAGATGCGCAGCAGCTGGAGGACATTTCTGCAGAACTGCGGAGAAAACAGGACTGATCGGTGACATATCTCACAAACAAAAACACAACCTGACTTGTTTAAAAACCGTGGCTCTTCCATGGCTCTTCCTTTCATTTAACTCAATGGCTCGTATTTGACTATAAATATAAATTTTTAACAGAATAGTAGGCTTCAATCCAGTCTACTTTATGCAATAATTAACAGACTACAAAAATATACAGTTAAAGTCAGAATTATTCGCCACCCTGTTTATTTTTCCCCAATTTCTGTTTAACTGAGAGAATTTTTTTCTGCACATTTTTAATCATAATAATTGTAATATTTTTAACAACTTTAATAATTTATTTTTGTCTTTGTCATGATAATAAATAATGTTTTACTAGATATTTTTAAGACACTTAGCTTCATGTGACATTTAAAGGCTTAACTTGGTTAATTAGGTTAACTAGGCAGGTTAGGGGAATTAGGCAAGTTATTGTATA